CGATAACCACGTCAAGGTAATTTTATATCGAAATCGTGTTCTACCCGCTGACACAAAGTATTAATTTGAAAGCCAAAAACGTGTTTGGGGCTAAGCGCCTCAGAAGTGGGCTTAGACGGACGGACAGACTGGACTGGACATACCCGGCTGCCCATGGGAGCTCTTGGGCATTATATCATCGCTGTATCCTATTGACATGATCGTCTTAGACTTCCGTCTCGTTACCGGAGCTCACTTTATAAATGGCCAAAATGCACACACACACACACACACGTACGCAATTTGAATGGCCCGCTGCGTGTGGCACGCTGAAATATGATTCAACCGAAAATGTTGCAATGAATGAAGCGCCGTGCGCAGAGTCGCATACTCGTCTCTCTCTATATGAATATAGTTATGGTCTATGGCTGCCTATAGTGATGTCATGCCATATATGGTTCACATTTCAGTTAGACGACTCTGACGTGATTCGTTGCCCGTTACATCAGCTTGAATTATCCGGCGGAGCCAACAATTTTGCATATTGAAAACTCACTCACGTCCAACTAGCCGAGCTGGAGCTAGAGCTGGAGACAGAGCCCGCGACAGTCGGCCGACTGCCCCTGGGCGCCAATGTTGTAATTTCAGTGTAATAGCACGGTTATTAGTTTTCATTGTAATTGATTGATTACGGTCATTAGTGAGATGGTTGATCTTGAGAGTATGCATTGGGGAACGGCAGCTGTGCGCGCTGTGGGCCCACAGCAAACAAATTAAAGTTCAATTTAATCGACAGCTAAACGATGCGTTCCGCGCCAGATATGGTTAAGCGAGGCAGACACAAAAAAAAAAAAAAAAACAATAACAATAACAATAACGTCAGACGGCGAGCCCTAGGGGAAAGCGGGCATCAAAACATTTGAGATTGTCGTGAATGTCAAACGAATTGACACCCACGCACGGGGGCTGCTTAAGCATTTGATGGGGCAGACGCTACTGCTAAGACATGCCAGCGAGTGGCTCTCACTGGGCGTAGCAGGAGGGGGCGGTCGGGCGACAGCTGAAATGCTCTCCATGCTCCGCGTCATGTGGCACTTTTTCTTCCAGCAAACTGGAACCGCATAGCTCAGGCCAAATATGTGTGAGCAGCAGCAGCAGCAGCAGGAGGCGGGCAGGCAGCCAGGCTGACTGGCAGGGTATTCCAGCAAGCATATACATATCAACACATGCGCATCCCAACAGGAAAAACTAACGGATGCCATTACCATATAGAGCCACGGCTGACCTTCATTGCAATCACACACACAGACTCCAATAGAGTTGGCTACTGTTGTTATTCTCCCAGTTGTCGCTGCTGTTGTTGTTGTTGTGCATCGATAACTCGACGACTACCAAAATTAGAAGCTGCTGTGCAGCATTGCCGTCGCCTGAGCAGGTTTCGATGTCAACGACTAGTTTCATGAATGAGAACGCAGCATTGGCTGCCACTGAGCGGCAGAAGGCCGTGAACGTGACTCTGAATAATATTTCCAAGAGCCACATTTATGAGGCTAAGGGTTAAGGTTTATATAAATAAAAGCCGAACTCTCATTCGTGAGCTTCTCTTCAATGGCTTTGAATATTCTATGGAAAAGGTCGGCACAGTTCTCTTAAAGACAGCGCGCCCTTCTGAGCGCCTTTCTCTGTGATTTTCATATAGTCAAGGTCTACTTCTACAATGTCGAATAGCTGGCTTGGCTTGCTCTTATAGCTTTTATTTATTTAATAACCAATTCACAGAGTCCCGAAAAGATTTACATCAAGGTTGTGGAACTGGAACCAAAGATCACGGCGCTCGGCGACAATCTGGACGAGTCGCTGCACATGCAAAGAGAGCACGATGAGACGCTGCGCAATCTACAGGTAGCTAGCAAAGCCCAATAAATTAACCCAAATGTATAACAAAGTGTTTCCCATTCTCTCTTAGAACCTGCCTGGGCCCATGGACGAGTTCGTGCAGAAGGCCGACAAACTGCTGGCCAGCAAACGCATCAGCTCGGAGCTAGTCAATGCCATGGCCGACACACTGAACATCATTTGGCAGGACATACTGAATCTGCTGCAGGATCGCCAGCACATTCTGCACCTGTGCACGCAGTTCCACGACAAGATGACGCAGTGCTTCAGGCGCATGGACCAGCTGGAGGGGGCCTGCCACGAGGCAGCGCTGCCCGCTGAGGTGGCTGGCGTCCAGGAGTTCCTCAACAAATTCAAGCAGCTGCGCATCGACATGCTGACCGGCGTCATGGCGGCGCTGAAGGATGGCAACGAGCTGCTGGCCCAGCTGCAGGAGCTGGAGAAGCTGGAGACCCTGGACACACGACCCGAGCACATCAAGCGGGATGCAACGCGCGCCGTGCATCAGGTGCAGCAGTGGCTGGAGGCGCTGCACGATCGTCGCAACGCCCTGGAGCTGGCCTGGCAGACGCGCAAGACCCAGCTGGAGCAGTGCCTGGCCCTGAAGCTGCTGGGCCGAGAGCTGCTCGAGCTGGAGTCGGCCCTGCAGCAGGCCAAGCACGAGCTGAACACCATGTACAGCCTGGGCGAGTGCGAGCACACGGCCAACCAGACGCTGCTCAAGTACCAGGAGTGGAAGCAGCAGGCCCTGCTCCTGCGCGATCGTGCGCTCAAGATCACCCGCGCCAAGGAGAAGGTCCAGGCGCCGGGCTACTTTGCTGGCGATGAGGATTGCGCTCGCGCCTACGCCGTGCTGAGCATCTGCACGGAGCACCTCGATCTGGTGGATCAGCGCGAGCATTGGCTCCAGCAGTCGCGCGACTTCTTTGCCAAGGCGGAGCACACGCTCAGCGTGCTGGAGAAGCTCGAGCTGGAGCTGGCCAGCGTCAAGCTGCCGCCCAACTCGCCCGAAAGCTATGCCATGTTCGCCAAGGTCTCCCGCGACGTGAGCACCTTCACCGAGGAGCCGCTGCGTCTGGGCTATGGCATCCTGGACGAGGTGGGACGCACGCAGCCCGAGACGCAGGGCATCAAGCGCGTGCTGGACGAGCTGGAGAACCGCAAGGCGTACGTCGAGGGCATCTGCGCGAACAGCAGCGAGGATCACCAGCGCGTGCAGCGCGCTCTGAACGAATTCCTGGCGCAGCACAACGAGCTGCTCGCCTGGCTGCGCGCCTCCGGCCAGCTGCAGCTGCAGCAGAGCGTCAACATGGGCCGCAATCTGCATCAGGCCAAACAGTTTCTGCTGCAGCATCACGAGCTGATGCAGGATCTGGAGGTAACTCGAAAAGAAGAAGAAGCTGGAAGAAGCCTTTGCTAATCAATGTCTCTGCTCACACAGATCAAGGGCGAGCTGATTAATCTGCTGCTGGAGTCCATCAAGCAGCACCTGGAGTCGCTCAGCCCACAGCAGCGCTTCGACGTGGACTCGAAGGCCGAGGCGCTGCACAAGCACTGGATTGAGCTGAAGGATCTGGTGCTGAAGCGCGTCGACTACGTCTCCCTGCTCATCGAGTTCTTCGAGCAGGCCAACGAGCTCTCTAGTCAGCTGGACCATCTGCAGCGCCAGCTGCAGCAAACCCCCGACGAGCACAAGCTGCAGTTTCTAGAGGCCACCTGGGCCAACATCGCCGCCAGCTACGCGGAGCTCAAGTCGGCCGGCCAGCGATTCGTCAACCTTAAAGTCTGTATTGCCATCGCCATAAGATTTGCTTATTATTAATATCCATATATATAGTTGGTCGTTTTTGGAATTCTCTAATGTCAGGGCAGGCCTTTGCATGAGTTTCTCTTTCTTCCTCTTGACTAACCGCTGATGTCAGCTGCTGGCAGCTGGCGCGCATTCAGACACTCTGTCACATCCAGAGCAGACAGAGCACATAATATGCTCCAACATGCTGCAGCGCTGGCTATTTTTAGTGCGCACTGCGAATTCGCTAAACAGAAAGCAAAGTACATTGCTCGCTTGCTTTGTTTATGCTGCTGCCCTAACTAAGTAGGCATCAGAGCTATCTCACTTGAGATGAATAACCAAAGAGAAAAAACTAGAGATTATTTCTTGAGTTGGAGAGAAAAGAAATACCAGCAAATAGCAAATAAATAATTTAACTTGCCAAAAGAAAAAATCTGTAAAAATCATGTTAAAAGAAAAGTAATAAATATTTAATATATTATACTTTAGATTCCTAGCATAAATCATATATTTACAGCCCATACAGCATTAGCCTAGATATCTGCAGCGTGGCATAATTCTATTATAAATCTCCCTCGCACCTCTTTAAGATCTCCATCAACAGTTTAATAAGAGTATCTTCCATGGATAGCTAAGAAAATATATAATTCAAGTGCTGATTGCATCTTAGCCGAGTTGTGCAGCAAATGCTTTGTACCTGCCAGCTAGGGCACATAAATTTCCAACAATATGATTTCGGCTGGCTATAGCCACACCATAAACATATATTTTAGAAACGACAAGCCATTTTCCCTCTTACATGCAGTCGATGGAGCCGTGGAGGGGGTGGGGGGAGACGAGGGTAGGCGTGGCATGGTGGTGTTATAGCGCCAGAGTGCGGCAGTCGCATACAAAGATTTGAAATTAGAAAATTCGCTTGGCTGCCAACGCCTCGAGTCGAGTTGAGTCCATAAATAAAAACAGGCAATTTGCGCAGCTCGTCTATAGATAGAGAGGGAAAGAGAGAGAGAGAGGAGAGAGAGGGAGAGAGGGTGAAGGAGGGGCATCGTGGTTCGGGTCTGGTTTGGCCTGGACTCTGGTGCGCCAGAACGCGTCAGACCCTGATCACAGGCAGATGCGTGCCACGTGCCACGCGCTTTCCACGAATTTTCCAACTTGTCAGCCAAGACACTTGAGCAAGAAATTATAGATAGAAAAGGCAAACGCAAAACTAAAATAAAAAGCCAAAAGAAAACGAAAAAAAAAACAAGAATAAGAAGAAGAAGAGTAAAGAAATAGAAACAAACTGAAACTGATTTCATTTTATGCTATTTTTAACGACATCGCTGCGTAGATTGTGGATCCATATCTCGAGACGAAGCCCTCGGTGCAGGCAGTGGAGGAGACACTGAACGGCTTCAGTAAGCGGCAAGTCGACGTGACGAGCAGTCTGGAAAATTGGACAACGACCATTGCGGAAAAGCGCGAAGTAGAATATCTGCTAGAGAAAGTCATGAGCGACAACGAGGAGGTAATGAGGAGACGAACAACAAATGGAAATGAGTTTCTCATTTTTAATGTTTTGCACATTTTCTCATTAGACCGTGGCCAAGAGCACGCAGGTGGACACACAGCTGTATCCGGTGTTCAGCACACCCAGCTTGGACTCCAAGCAGCTGCTGACGAGCACGCGCGAGAAGCTGGGCCTGGTCACCCAGGACATTGAGCGCGCCCAGGAGGAGATCCAGCAGCGCATACAGACCACGCTCAGCATACAGACCAAGGACCAGCAGTCGCTGGCCAAGATCGAGCAGGTGATCAACAACCTGCGCATGCTGAAGGCGAAGCTCGATGGCATCAAGTACGACTATCGCACGCTGCTGGAGAGCGTGCTGCAGTTCCTCGAGAACATCGTGCAGCTGCGCCGCGAGATCGATGCGTATTTCGCCAGCCGACAGCAGTCGGCCGCAACGGGCCCGGCCTCGGCCTCGGGCGTGGAGCGCACCATAGCCGAGCACGAGAAATTCCGCGATCAGTGCATGGATAAATTTAGATCGTTAATCACACAATCCGAACTGCTGATCGATCGTGTGCGCGTATTGGAGCCGCCGGGCGCTCGCGAAATCGACACTGATCGCATTTTGAAGTTGTTGGAGAATCTGCGCATTCACTTCGAGTCGAACAGCAGCGCCACCATGTCCACTCTGGAGCGTCTCGAGAAGATCGAGCAGTTTCGCAGCGACCTGGAGGATATCGATCGCAGTCTGGACAGCGTCAGCAAGCAGCTGCACGATATTAATGGACAGAGTGTGGATAGTCTGGCGGCTGCCAAGACCACGTCGCTGGCATTCGAGTACTTTGAACGTACCATAGAGGTGAGTGAACTCGAGGCGTGTTGTGCGTGAGGAGCTCTCGCCTTCTCCTTCTCGTTCTCCACCTTCATCTTCTTCTTCTACTTGGCTAACAGACAGATTCAGCTGAAAGGTATTTAATACTAACCTCAATCTTATAGTGTTCAATGCCCAGATTTGTGAAATCGACGCCTCATCAGCGACGCTGGGGGCAGACAGCGCATACGTTAGAGGTAGCCATTGCGAAGACCCAGTTGTAAACCATCTGAATGCATGTGGCAAGAGTTTTCCTCACCCATTTCCCCTTTCCCTTTGCCTTTGGTTTTTGCATTTGCTGTCGCCTCATTTTGGGTGGCCAGAGCTCAAAATGCTTTCCGTATGGAAGCAGCCCCGGCACATTCATCAAATTTCCAAATGCGTTGAGACATTTTCGAAAATAAGTACAAATTCAAATACAGCTTTCAAAATGTTGTTGTCGCTGTCAGCGCAGCGTTGAATGGACAGCAGCAGCTGTCGTTAGTTTGTAATTAAAAACTTGAGAAATACATCTTGCAACTAGTGCGGCAGCAATAGATACAGATACAACTACAGCTACAGATACAGATACAGCCACAGCTACACACACATACAGCTAGAGATATGAGTATTTGAATGCTTGGCACTTGGCTGTTTTGAAATTCACTCCTCTTAGCTGCACATTTGCCGTTATAAATTGCTTTTGACGTTCTGATTTTTATGGACTTTCGGCCTGGGCAGCCCATGCAAAAGTATCTATATCGCTGAAGCCCATTTCGGCCTTTCGCCCAGACACTTGTGTTAGCTGCGGCCGCTTAATGGGTTAATTAGAGAATGAACTGTTGTAATGAATGCTATTTGGCAGCCTTTTAAAACGAATTTCCCTCGCCTCTTCTTCCGTTACGCCAGCTGCTCGAGAAGCGCATCGAGAAGTTCACGGAGACCACGCGGCAGCAGCTGCTCATTAGCAATCCCGAGAGCGAATCGTATGTGAAGGACGAGCTGCGCAAGCTCAACGACAAATGGCAAAGCTTCAAGGATCAAGTGAGGCAGAAGCGCAAGAGCCTCAATCAGGCCAACGACTTCTTCGAGGCAGTTGAGAAGGTAAGTCGCCAATCACCCACTCAGATCTCCACTCACGTAATTCTCACATGTGCAGATCGATGCGGAGTACCGGGAGATCAGCTACTTCTACAATAGCGTCTCCAACAAGGTGCCCTATTTGCGCGACGCCGTCGAGGCCTCGAATCTGGTGAATGACATTGAGAAGTATGTGACCAGTCGAGAGCCGGCGCTGCGTGCCAAGCTGGACAGCGCTTCGCAGTGCGCGCACGACATGAACAAGGTATCGACGCTCTACAACGACGTGATGAACATCTTCCAGTCGTTCATCAAGCTGAAGACGGACATCAACACCGTGCAGGAGCGACTCAAGCAGGAGCAGCGTCAGCGCGAGCAGCGGGAGCAGGAGGCGCGCGACCAGGCCGAGCGCGAGAAGGCGATTCGTGAGGCAGAGGCCAGAGAGCGCTTGGCGCGCGAGGAGCAGGCGCGCCTGGAGGCGCAACGTCAGCAGGCGGCCATTGAGCAGGCGCAGCGCGAGCTGGCGGCAAGGCAACTGTCGCTGCGCGAGCAGGCGGTGCGCGAGGAGGAGGCGCGACTGCAGGCAGTGCGCGAGCAGGCGGCCAGGGAGCAGCTGGCCAGGGAGCAAGCAGCGCGCGAGGAGGAGCAACGCATCCAAACGCTGCGCGAGATAGCCAAGCGGGAGGAGGAGCTGCGCTTGCAGGCGCTGCGCGATGAGGAGGCGCGTCTGCATAACAAACGCGAGGAGGAGTTGAGAGTGAAGCGGGAGGAGGAGATCCGCCTGCGGCGCGAAGAGGAAACCAGGCAGCAGCGCGAGGAGGAGGACAGGCAGAGGCGCGAGAACGAGTCGCGCATTCAGCGTGAGGAGATCACGCGGCTGCAGACGCTGCGCGATCAGGTCGACCAGCAGCGCATCGTGACGGAGAACATACGCAAGGATATCCAGGTGAACCAGATCTTCACGGAGCTGCGCTACGCCTCGCCGCTGTTCGTGCGCCCGCTGAAGGATGCGCTGGCCCGCGAGGGCGAGCGCTTCGTCTTCGAGTGCGAGGTCACGGGCACGCCGGAGCCGAGCGTCGAGTGGTTCAAGGACGGCATCAGCATTCAGAGCAATGCGGACTACAAGACCAGCTTCGACAAGGGCATCTGCCGGCTGGTCATCGAGGAGACCTTTGCCGCGGACACGGCTCGCTTCAGCTGCCGCGCCTCCAACCTGGTGGGCACCTGCGACACCAATGCCACGCTGACGGTGCGCGAGAACGCCGCCGAGCTGCAGCTGGTGCCGCCGCGCATCCTGCGCTTCCTGGAGAGCGGCAAGGCCACCGAGGGCACCGCCTTCCAGTTCTCCTGCGTGGTCAGCGGCGTCCCCCTGCCCACCGTGCAGTGGTTCAAGAACGACAAGTGCATCGACGACTCGCCGGACTACGTGATCAGCTACAACAATGGCGAGGCCACGTTGCGGTTCGACGAGGTGTTCCTCGAGGACGACGCCGTCTACACCTGTAGCGCCTCGAACCCCGCCGGCATCGAGCACTGCTCGGCCAGTTTGATCGTAGAACGTAAGTGGGGAACATAGTAAACATCTACAGCTCGGCTCAAATGAACTCACAATCTCGTTTTCGCAGCACTCGAACCCACTGAGCTGCCCTGCTTCAAGATGCCGCTGCAGAACGCCATGGCGCGTGTCGGACAGAAGATCAAGATGGAGGCCCTGGTCACGGGCATACCGCAGCCCGAAATCCGCTGGCTCCACAATGGCAAACCATATCAGCCACGCGACTCAAAAGTGAGTACAAATCGCTGACGACATTTGGGGAAAATTCTACTAGTCAGAAGGGAAAATTTTCACGAAATTCCCATAGCGAAACTTTAAATACTCTCACCAAAAATATTGACAGCTGCCGAGGTGGCTGCTGTTGCAATAACTTCTAGGTCATCTCGTAGTCTATGTGGCTGGCTCTCTCTCCTGGGATGAAATTTTCTTCTTTGGAAATTCCATGCCCAACTGTTACCCTCATTCTGTCTGCCGTCAAATAAATATATGCATATATTTGTGTATTGCGAAAAGAAATGGCACAGCGAACAATTCCCCAATGGCGCGATCCCACAAATTATATTTATATATATATATGGCTTTATGTATAGTATAAACAAACTTTGCTGGAATTGCGAAAATGAGAAAAAAGGCAAAAAATCAGTCTGAAATTTTGCGGTGGGCGAAAATATATGTATAGATGTGAATGAATATGTGATAGTTCCATAGAATATGAAATGAACATGTTTAATTTCTTGATTCGCTTTCGCTGCTGACGTCAGCGTTTAGTTGTGCTGGAGGCCCCCTCACCCCTCACCCCTCACGCCGTTTACTGCAAAAAGCAGAGCAAATCTGTATATGCAGAGATAAACTACAAGATTCAAGGCAAATGTTTTAAAAATAAGCCGACGCATAGTATACACTGCATAGCTATAAATTACAGGCTAAGAAGTCGCTAGCCATATAGCTGCAATAATTTGTTTGGTTTTTTGCTTTTGTCAGTCTGAGATTTTGGCAGCTTCGCGTCGCAGTTGCAACGAGCCGTGTGCTGCGGCGCGAATCCAATTCACCACAGTCGCCTTTCGTGGGCGCTGTCAGCCAATTTGTTTATTGTGGGCGCCGTTATTCGGCACAGCACACGCACACACACACACACACACACACACACACGTCAGGCGTATATACTGCGTGCCTGTTTATATGTATGCTTTAAAAGTTTTCATTTAATTTTTATAGAGATCAACGCTTTTGGCCGAATGCAAAATGATTTCATTGCTTTTAATTGCCTTTTTGACAAACCAAACATGATCTCATTGCAGCGAGCTGATTAAACAATTATCTCGATTCTTTATATACAATTGCGTATCTATAGCATTATTGTTCGATCTCGAGTGGTGCACAACACCTGAACTCGGACGCTTCCTGCAATTTGGTTGCCCAAACAAAAGAACATTTTCCAGTTTCTTTATCAAATAAACAGCACGTCAGACGAATATTATGGGATTTACACCACCCTCCGTCCATCTCACTCGGCCACTAGATTATTATTATTTAGCTGTTGTTGTTGTTGTAGACTCCCGCGCCGGATACGCAGCGCACAGACTTAGGCCGGATCGTACATCCGTGCGCCAAGCATAAATAAGTTTTTGTTTTCGGGCATTGGGATGGGTGTAAAATGAAAATTCGATTGCAAAAAACCATAGAAAAGCACACAAAAACTGGCACAAATTGAAAAGCATTAGCCATTAGCCATAGCCATAGCCATAGCCATACCCGAGGAACTCAACACACGGCCCCGTTGCCAGCGAACTCACCATGTGGTGGGATGCGCGCACTCGACGCTCAACATATCTCAATATTGTTTTGAACGCATTTCAGTACGAAAACGGACGCGTTACGCTCACAATACCGCAAGCCTATCCAAACGACGCCGGATCCTACGTGTTGAGTGCTAAGAACTTGGCTGGCGAAGCTTACAGCAGTTGCAACATTATTGTCAAGGGTCGTCTGCCGAACGAGACGTCCGATTCAGAGATGGCTAGCGATATCGAGCCCATCCGTCCGGCGGTGCATATTCCACTGAAGGACGTCTTCATATTCGAGGGCAAGCCAGTGCGCCTGGACTGCGTGATCGTGGGCCAGCCCGAGCCGGAGGTCATTTGGTATCACAACGAGCGACCCGTCAAGGAGTCGGCCGATGTGCAGCTCCTGTTCCAGGGCGATCGCTGCTCGCTCTTCATACAGGAGGTCTGCCAAGAGGATGGCGGCAGCTACAAGGTGGTTGCCATCAACTCAGCGGGCGAGGCCTCGAGCAGCTGCGAACTGAAGGTGACATCACTGAACACGTCAGAGTCAGCGACGCGACTGCAGGCCGATCGTCAGTCCTTGCCCAGGGAGTCGCTGCCCAAGTTCGAGCGCCTGCTCTCCGATGTGCTCGCCGACGAGGGCGAGCAGGTGGTGCTGGAGGTGCATGTGAATGGCGACCAGCCATTGCGGGCCCAGTGGTACCTGACCAACAAGGAGCTGCAGCTGAACGAGCGCGTCACCACCCAGTCCGATGCCGAGGCTGGCATATTCAAGCTAATTCTGAAGAACGTGGATGCCAGCGACAAAGGCGTCTACACGGTCAAGGTCTCGAACGACGCGGGCGATGCCAAGTGTTTCTCGCATCTCATTGTCAAGTCCGTGAACGCCCCCGAGAACCGTCGCGGCAGTCAATCATCCGTGGAGATCGTCGAGCGACAGCTGTGCCCCGAGTTCAAAGAGCTCTTCAGCGACAAGCAGGCCCACATCGACGAGGTGGTCAAGTTCGAGTGCATTGTGGTGGGCAAGCCGACGCCCAAGGTGCATTGGTTTTTCAACGACCAGCCGGTGCACGGCCACAACTTCCTCGTCTCCACCAGCGGCGATCGTCAGGTGCTGACCATTCAGCAGCTAACACACGACGCCGTTGGCAAGATCAGCTGCACGGCCGAGAATGACGCAGGCAAAGCCACTTGTGTGGCCTTCCTGAATATCATTGGCAGCAGCCCGGTGCCCGCCTCCAGCAACTTGCAGACCATGACCCAGGAGCACAACACCGAATCGTCCCGGGTGACCATCAAGAAGCAGACCTTCACCACCACCTCCACATCGCAGGTGAACTCGTATGAGGGCAACGTGCCGCAGACGGAGGTGCATCACTCGTCGGCCCACATTGATCAGTCGCTCAAGCAGCTGGGACAACAGCGGCCGGAGATCGTGGAGAGCCATCACTACCAGGAGCTGCACAAGAGCAAAGAGATGAGCAGCCCCTCGGTGCAGCAGAAGTCCTTCACGCTCGTTCAGTCCACCAATGGCGGCACAGCTGCCCCGGCCATTGGCATGCCCGAGTCGCCAACAAAATTGCGCAAGGAGATAGCGCCACGCTTCACCACCCCACTGACGGGCAAGATTGTGGATCAGGGCGCCAATGTGAGCATGGAGGCCATCTACGATGGCTATCCCTCGCCCGAGATCAAGGTGGAGAAGAATGGCGATCAACTGTTCGACAATGCGCACACCAAGATATCCAACAAACACAATCGCGTGACCATTGAGCTGAAGGAGGTGGGCGTGGCCGATGCGGGACGCTATGCGGTGACGGCATCCAATGCGGTGGGTCAGTCAACAAGCACAGCGGATCTGGTGGTGAAAAGTAAGTAAAGCTAAGCTATGTTAATGATAACCTATAGCTCTTAAGTGGGGGAGACATGGCACGTAAAAGTTAACAGAAAACTGTTATTGCTCCGCTGTTAACTTTTATGTTCTTTGTTCTTGTTTACATTTAGTGCTAACAAATGATTTTAATTCATTTCGAAATCCTAATGAGCTAGCGAACGTGTAGAACATAAAGAGATTGAGCCTACATATGGGTCAGATCGCATGTCAATATTCCGTACGTCCGTGCGTCCGTCCATGCGCCACATCAATCAGCGGGGAGCATTAAAGTGTCATTGTCGGGGGCGTCAATAGATCTAGAAACGTCAATGCCGCCCGTTTCGCATATTGATGAGTTTTTAGTGGCGTCGCTGTTTTTGTTTATATTCAAATGATTTTTCTAGCCCGCAGGCGAAAAGTTTTTTCTGTTCTTTGCTTCTTACACAGAAAATTCTAAATAATTTTTCAGATTTTTTTTTTTTTTTTGGTGGGTGGGTGGGTTTTGTGGGCTGGGTTGGGGGCATGAAGTGGGCAATAATTATGTAAATTTATCTTGAACACAAGTTTTTGTCGGCGGACTTGTCGTCTTGTGCGGTTGAAATGTGTTCGAAATAATGAAAGAAAAGAAAACGTGTATTTTTACTGGCTGTCTACACGAATTATTCATTATAGCTGATCGTTTGGACGGCTGTGCAAGTAAATTATATTCGCGAGAGATCTTCTGAGATCTCTGTTGCAATGACACACAAAAGCCAATATATATTTTCATTGTGTGTGTTGTGGCTTTCAAATGAAAGTGGCCACAGCGAGCCGCAACATGTGTTGAGCCCCAACGGATTCTTCTAATGAATTTTCGGCTTCTTCTGTTTGTGCAGAGACCGTCTTTCCGCCAGTCTTCGGCCGTCGCTTGCAGGCGCAGGTTAGCAAGAAGGGAGAGCGATTGATTATGGAGGTGGAAGTAACGGGACTGCCAGAGCCCACAGTCACCTGGCTAAAGGACGACAAGCCACTCAAGGATGCTGGCATCTCTGAGCACCGCCTGCTTGCCCAGGGCAACTCGTACAAGCTGATCATCGAGAAAGGTAAAGCGATGAAGTCTCCTTCCAATTAGATCCTCTATCTAGCCCCCCTCTTCCTCCGTGCAGCACAAACAACGGACTCTGGCAAGTATATGGTGAGGGCCACGAATGCTGGCGGCGAGGCCAAGAGCATTGCGGACTGCGCCATCTTGGAGCCGTCGCCGGAACGCATGCAGGAGGTGGTCAAGACCATCGTCTACGAGACGCCGGCCAGTGAATTCAAAACTGAAGTAAGTGTGCATGTGCTCAATATATAAACACGATACTGCATTATCCATCCGATATTGCATTTATCATGACTCTGACTGCAACTCAATCGATCTATCTATCTATCGACCTACCTATCTATCTATCTATCTATCCTCTCAAATATATAACTTTATCGAACTGTCAATCTTTATCTATGAAATTCAATGCTTTACTATATACTATAATATTTCTGCGACTTGTTACGTTCTTGACATGATTTATATATATATATACATTTATTTATTTATAATAAACAAATCTTGTGAATTTCTACTCTCATTGATTTCGACGTTGTTCGTTTCGCTTTGCTCATTACACTCATGTGGTTCTCATGCAACGACATATATACACACATATATAAATATATACACATGTATTTGAATTGACTCGTAACCGAAAACCAGAACCAGAGCCACTTCAACAAAGAGCCCCAATCATATCAGACCAATCAAACCGATGCAACCACTGCCAACGATCTGCATGGCCTGTCCGAGTCGAAAGTTATCACTGAGCATCGTTGCACCACCGAGGCAACGATGCGTCTAGAGCACAAGTCGACATATAATGACCTGCCCGAGTTGAGTCTGCGACCAAAGACACCAACCACCTACACCACCACTGACACCACCACCAATAATACCGCTACCAACAACACTGCCAGCATGGACCAGACCGATACCCAGGCCAGTTATAAGACTGGCGTCACACAAACCCCGCCGCCCGTGCCACCCAAGCCCTGTCCGCCCGTTGTGGGCACGGCTTTTGGCCAGCCGGCGCAGGCGCAGGCGCAGCCACAACCACAACAACCACCGCAGATGCAGACGCAAATCAACACCAGATACGAGAGCAGCAGCAACGAGCACAAAATGTCTTCGTCCTTTGAGTACTTCAAGAAGATCGATGAGGAAACCGTTACACAGCGACCCAAGCCACAGGCCCAGCGACCCTTGGAGACGGTGGTGCGCCAGCCGCAGGCGCAAACGTTGGCCGAAGAGCTGAGAAGCTTGAATCTAATACCCGGAGCACCGCCAGAGTTCTGCTACACGCCCAAGAGCGAGAAGCAGCTGCCCAAGCAGCCGCTCATCACCGAGAAAATCAAGATTTTGGAGGAGGTGCAGCCCAGGACGCCACCACCACAGGGTGGTGTGCCCGTCTTCCCGCCACCTCTCAATCTGCAAAGTGTGCAGCACGAGACAACCCTCACCAAGGAGGTCAAGGTGGAGTACAAGCAGCCCATTGTGCGGCCCGCCGCGGTGCTGGCAACGCCGGCCCAGCAGAACACGCGTTCGCCTTCGCCCAAGCCATCGGCAGAGGGCGTGGCCATGTCTAAGCTGTGGACGCCCAGTGGCCCCACCAGCTACTCCAGCGATGTGGAGCAGAAGTCGGAGCGCCAGATCAGCATCACTAAGCTGCCCACGCCCACGCCCACCAAGGAGCTGAACGCCCCCTTCCTGGTGCAGCAGGTCGCCAAGAACATCTCGCCACCAACTCCGGCACCCGTCACTCGAGTGGTCAACGTTGAACTCGAGCCCGGCACTCCGCCGGAGATTTGCTTTGCGCCCAAGCAAGAGGAAGTGCGTCGTCACTCGCTGGTGGAGAGCATGGAGCAGAAACTGGAACAGAATCTCATCCAGGGTCCCAGCAAGGTGCTGCCCCACTCGGTGCCCACGCTGACGCCCGTCACGCCACCCAAGGCCAATGGCTACCGCCCGCCGCCCCCAGTCATGCCCAGCCGCCTGGGCGCCCACTACGAGAGTGACTACGAGAGCGATCGCTACAAGTACAGCGGCAGCGAGTCCGACGAGCCGGGCAATCGGGCGCGCCAGCAGCAGGCCACCCTAGAGTCGTCGTTCAAGTCGAGTGGCTATGCCGCCGACACGGAGGAGCACTCCAGCTACCGCAAGTCCGAGAGCAGCTTCTATGAGACGAAATCATCGACAGCCACGAACAAGCTGCAGCCGGAGCCACCGGCGCAGCTCTACTTTGCCCCGCCGGCGGCGACACAGCAAACCAGCTACAGTCAGGAGGCGAAGGTTCGCATAGACTTCTCACTGCATACGTGCAATATGTGTTGTTGTTGTCGTTGTCGTTGTTGTTGTTGTTGTCGTTCTTATGTGTAGCACTTGGAACTGGCTGCGTCCTGTTCCCCCGTACACACTCTCTTGTTGTTTGTCCTTGTCTAACCATGTTCATCTCTCGGCCTGCCTCTAACGCTCATCAGCCAAAGCATCTGCCATGCTAACACTGCGTTTCATCAGTTTATAAATACTATTGAACAATTTCAATTATTTAATACAACTCGATTTATTAAATTACTTTGCATTTGCCTGAATATCTAACCTGTTTTCGTTGCTCCTTTGCTGCCCGAACTTTGATCCTTAGTAACCGGCTTTGTCTTTCGCAGAACTACAAGTACACCTCGTCGAGCATGACTAGCAATATGCAGCAGAGCAGCAGCAGCTCCACACACCGCGAGACCAAGTATTCCTCGAGTGCCACGCCCCTGATCACGCCCAGCCCAGTGCCGGCGCAGCGCAAGACGCCCGCCACGGAGTTCAGCGATTACAGCAGCGAGGTGGACGAGCGCTTCCGTTCGGTGTCGCGAGCCAACGAATCCGACTCGGACATCAAGGGCTATCGCGTGGTGTTCCCGCCCACGCCCACGCCGCGCACCAACATCGCCAACGGCCACAAGTCGCCGGTGGTCGTAGTGACGCCCTCTCCCATGGAGTTTGAGCCAACTCCCCCGCAGCTGGGCAGCTTCACGCGTCCCAAGTTCGAGCCGATTGGCAAGGAGATACGCCACGAGATCAGAACCGAGAGCAGCTCCAAGCAGTACTCGAGCAGTCAACAGAAGCAGCAGCAGCAGCAGCAGCCCCAGCAGCAACCGCAGCCTGTCTTCAAGCCCAAGCCGGTGGCAGCCAAGTTCATAGCCGCCACCCAGCAGCAGCAGCAGCCGCTGCCCAGCTCCAGGCCGACCATGTTCTACAATGCGGTTGCGGGCGCGCCAATGCACATGGCCAAGGTGGCCCACGAGACGAAGAATGTGATGCAGATGCACGAGTCCACGGAGAGCTCTCAGCGCGTTGTCAACATGCAGCAGACCAAGCGCGTCATCCACTTTGACAACCAACAGCAACAGCAGCAGCAACAGCAGCAGCCCGCTCTGGAGCCCTTCCCTTACAGCCCGGCCGGCAGCCGCACGCCATCGCGTCAATCGCATCTGCCGCCGCCGGCCACGCCCACCAAGTTCATACCCGGCGAGTATCGGGAGAGCGACTACGAGAGCGAAGTGGAAGGCACACGCATTCAGCCGCTCTGGTCGCCCTACGGCGATGGCCAGACCAAGGGCTATCGACGCGTGGCGCCACCGCAGGCTGGGGCTCGCTCCTGCAGCCTGCCGCGCAGCTACGAGCGCGTGCTCTCGCCCATGGAGTTCGACCGTGGCCCCGAAATGCCAAGCAAGATATTCGTCGATGTGAATACGCTGCGCAAGGAGCAGCGCGGCGGCAGCACTGTGACCACGCAGCATCGCACGCAGTCGCTGAATCGCAACAGCACCATGAGACAGCAGTTCGGCAACCGTTTGCCAGATGGCTCCCAGGATCAGACAGATCTGCAGCAGCAGCAGCAGCAGCGAGCGGGCACCTTGCCGCGGTATGGCTACAGCTCGCTGCAGCAGCAGGCGGAGGGTCAGGGCAAGCGCATGGGCTCCACGTTCCTACAGAAGTCGCATCAGTTCATCGAGGAAGTCAGCCGGGACATGCAGAGCCAGCAGATCGGCTCGAATGGCGGACTGCGTCCAGGGTTCAGGCGTGCGCCGAGCGAGGGCAGCAACCAGCCGCAGGCCTACAGAGATGAGTCGCGCGTCTCGCAGTACGGTGAGTACAGTGAAGCTTCTTTCGTAGACTCTAGATACTAAAACGACTGTAGATATGGGCGAACCAAACCCAACAACAAGTAAACCAAAAAAAAAAAAAAAAAAACACATTGGTTCCATTCAAATTGGTATTGAAAGTTGAGATTGAATATTTTGAAAATTTTGATTTGGATTTTGATTTTGGAGTGCCTTTTCTCGCATCGACCACTAACCGCCCATGAAACCATTAATTTGTATATGCCATCTCTAAGTTCTGTACACACCTCTCCCATTGTCAACAAAACACGTAACCAGGCACCAAATGCGTCGATCCCAATACCGGTTTAATCTATTTCAAATACGACTTCGGCTACGAGTTCGGCATACTCTTTCCCGGCGAGGGCCACAAGTTCGTGAGCAGCCAGTGGAACAGCAAAGGCGCTCCCAGCTCCATCAGCAATGGCCGCCACTCGCCGTATCCTCTGAAGATTGCCGCTGGCAATGAATTGATAATACCCGTGCGCCACGAGCGCACCACCCAACCACCGGGCGCCATGCCGCACGGCTACAGCTCCGACGGCGAGGCGGCGGCGGCGGCGGCGCCACTGCGTCGCACCTATGGGCGTGTCAAGTCGCCCATGGCGCCGCGTTTCGCCCACAAGCGCTACAGCCTGCCCAGCTGCCACAGCATCGACATTCATCTAGATCGCCTGCATGCGCAGGCGCCGCGTCTGCCGCCCGATCAGCTAGTGCGCACAGGTACAGCTGGCAGCAAGCCAAGGCTGTTGGCCTGGCTGGCTGGCCAACTAGCTATCGATGTTGTGAACTAGTCTAGGACAAATTATCATTGTTGTTGTTGCCAGCACAATTTGGTGGCGTTCAGCAGGAGTAGCAGCAGGAGCAGCACTGGCATTTAGATGACTGCTTAAGAGTGTGATGAATATGCGGAATCTAGTGTAGGTTATCCACTAAAAGTGTGTGGAAGCAGGTATAATGTTGCTCAGCTAACATATGTAATAGAAGAATATAATTCCAATAAGAATCCATTTAATTGGACATAGAATACTTATATCTCGTTTAATGTTTTTACAATAGATTAGGCGAGATAGTGGAGCTTTCAATATTTATAGACTGCCGCATAGCTCAACCAGTGGAAAGATATCTGCATTACCAGAAATTTCACATCCATATCAAACGCTAGATGAAAGTTAAGATAAATCAACAATCTAGCAAAGCCTTTAAACAATATTTATAGACTGCCGCATAGCTCATACAGTGGAAAGATATCTGCATTACCAGAAATTTCACACATTTCATTTAAGTTGATGTTCTACTGTCTATCTATACCGAATACCGAATTTATATGCAGATAAAAAGTATCTGAAAGCTTGGATATCTTCAGCATTTGATCCACTTCAAAGATCTATAGATACTCCAGGGTATCTTTTCTCTATCACACTATAGGGCAGATGAATATATGAAAAACTTGCTGCTGATCGCCGCCGAATGCTTAGCTTAGTCCTCAGCAGCTGCCACGTGGCGTATACTTAATATAAGTGCCTTCTTAGCTAACCCCATCAAATTGCATGCTAAACCAAGTCTTGCTCGTTTCGTTTTGTTGCTGCATGCTTTAATTTCTGTTTGTGTCTTGTGCTTAAAGTGAAAATTGTTTAACAAAATTCAAAAGACTAAAAAAAAAGAAAATCAAAGAAAAAACTTGAAAAAAGCAAAAAAAGAAAAATAAGAATATGCTCACAAATGTAAATATTGTTGTGTTGTGTTTTGCCTTGCTGTGTTTTGTGTGTGTTAATCCCACTAATGGATGCTGCTATAAGCGAATTTCTGCAATTTCTAATGGCTGTTCAACCTCATTAGTGCCGGAACTGCCCAATACGGAGCCCGTCAATGCCCATTTGAATCGCGATGAACAGGCACAAAGGCCGCCATTATTCATAACGGTAAGCGAAGTCATTAACCCGACCGGCGGGCTCTGGTCCTCTGAGCCGAGCCGAGGCTGCGCTGAGCTGGGACCCAGTCGCAACTAAACTAAAATCCGGCAATTCCGTTTGCAGCCCCTGAAAGATATAGCAGTGGGCGTGGGCGGCACGGCACGTTTCGAGTGCATTGTGCAGGCGCATCCGCAGCCGCAGGTCAACTGGACCCACAACGGCGGCCATTTGGCGCAGAGCAGCCGGCATATCATTGAGTACCGGAACGGTGTGTGCCGTCTAACACTGCCGCAGGCCTATCCGGGTAAGTTGCCAGCCATTTGCAATTCGACTGTCGGGCGAGCTCATTAATCGCTAAACCTCTCCTATCCACCTGCTGTCGCCTCCGCCTCCACCGTCTCCACCTCCACCACGGCAACTTTTTTGATTCATTGCAGACGACAACGGGAGCTACGTTTGCAGTGCCAGCAATGGGTTGGGTGCGGCCAGCACCAGCGGAACTCTGAACGTTTCGAGCACAAACCGCGGATTTAGATACTAAGATAAACATTTAAATGAGAGATTTACATACATATATATATATATTTATTTATTTATGATTTGTTCATGCCAAAGTTCTACATTTTATTGTGTGTGCGTGTCCCTAATTTTGTTACTTGATTTCGAGTCCTGCGATCGAATGGATCCCAATTTATAGCCCCCGCAGCGCAGTCATGCCGAGGGCGCATAGTATTACTTGTGTTTTTGTCGAAAATTCAAATAAATCAATTGAAAACGAAACCGCAATTTAGTTTTATTTGAAGTCTATCGAGACATGCGCGCTGATCTCTTGCTATTCGAACTCGCGCCAAAAGCGATCTGCGCTGGCGCTCTCTATGGGGAAATGTTGGCAGCCAGTTCGAAAAAGCTGTGCAGCGTGTGCGAAAGCTTTCGAAATGGAATCAGGCACTAGATGGCGCTAGCTGATCGGTGATCTGCAATTCGGGAAGATTATTTTTGATTTATGTGCACCAGATGGATAAATAATACGAATTTCTCGCTTACAGGAAATCATTTTTCAAAATTTACGTTTATATAATTGGGTCTCAAGGCCTGCAAAACAAAGTGTGCGCCATTAATATTTAAGTGCAAATGCCAAGACTAAGTTAATTACATATGAAATTAAAAATATGCATATATATATTTAATATACATATATTATTTTCATTCATGCATTATGAAATGCCTTTTCTGTTGCTTCAGCTTGTCAAATGCTGAGAGAGTGTGATGAAAATTAGGTCAACTAATTTATATGCCAGATGGTTTGCATTTCATTAGAAGATTCAAGTGTTTTTTAAACCCCATTTCTCATATAATAGTATTTCAAAATCTAAATCAGAATTGCCAAAAACAAACAAACCTGTGTGGGTGTCTGCCCGACTGGCTAACTGACTGACGGACAAGCTGTTCTTGTTGTTGCTCGTTTTGCTGTTGGCCTGCTGTTCATAAACGATTTATTTGAATTTCGTACAATGTTTATTTATCTATTTTTCTTCAAATTTTCAAAGTACTCAGCCGTCGCTCTGCACGCTGAATGCTTGCCAAGAATACGAAATGAAACAAACCGCGCAATATGCGAGAAATTTGCACAAAGACAGCCCCAGACATATTAAAGACTCGGGCCAACAGGCCCATGGGGCTGGGCTGGCTGGCTGGCTGGCTGGCTGGCTGGCTGTCAAGGTGCTGCCACACAGCAGCATCAGCAGCATCAGCAAACAACTATTTAGTCCAAAACTAAAGTCCTTGACACTGACCAAACAATACCTGATTATCAGAATCAGAATGGGGCTCTATTTATAGCCAGCTGATTCGAAAAACATTTTGGATGACACACTTTGCTCAGATGCGTGGGCATCCAAGTACCTGCCAAACTATCAATTCTCATGTACTTGGCCAACCTAAGCACCAACAGCAACAATACTACAACAGCAACAACAATCACTTGGATGCTAGTCAAGAAAAACTGAATCATTTATCTATTGCCTGTTGGTGTATCTCTCGATAAATTATTTATAATTGCACGATAATTTCCCCAAATTGAATTTGCAAGTAAGAGAAACGACAGATTTTGGCTGCTGCCTGAAGATTTTCTTTTGTAAATGATTCATAAAATTGCTCGTTTCCTGCGCAACGAGCTGACAACATATTGAATTTATATATCTGTATATCTGTATAATGGCAGCATAAATCGCAAAACGCTTCAGATTTTTGGTGGCCTTGTGCAGCATTCTATTTTATTTATTTACTTATTTTTTATTTTTCTCTCTCTTTTTTGGCACATGCGCCAAAAGAATTCACATGCTGTTCGATATATAAACAGATTATGTTTGGCCAGGCTATACTGAAAATATTTTCTCTTACTCTCTATGCAAATTCTTCGCCTGCTTTCTATTTTGCTATAATATATGATTTACGTCCTGGCGCAGGAAAACTTTTCATCGCTTCGACTGCCACGCGTATGGGTTTTAGTGTTTCGGCATTCTCTTTTTTCCAATTTGTCCACAAAAAATCCGTACGCAAATCCGTTCGTAGATCGAAAGAAAATACGAATATTTGTGTGATGAATATGCCGCAGCTATACAAACACTCGTTTGATGGTTTTGTTTCTCTGATTTTTCTAATTTAATTAGGCAATTTCTAAAAATATCAAAATGAACTCAACGCCAGTCACAGAATAATTTTTGTGCTGCTTCTTCTTATTTTGCTACTTAAAATTTTTCAACATTTTGCCATCATCCACTTCCATAGCAAATTCATCTCATCATTTTTAACATTCAACGTAAAATAAATGTTGACTAAAAAGATTAAGATCGATTGGGTTTTAAAAAATATTTAAAATAATAAATATTATGCAAGTTTTTATTTTGAGCAAGTTTCAGTTAGGACATTCCTTGAATGTTAAGACCAGTATATCTTACTGATATTCTCTTCATGCTACAATTCTTTCCACTGTCTTCGAGCTATAATTACTTTGATCACCTGTTGAGCTGCTCTACAAATCGAACTATAATTTATATAGTAAATCCATTTTCTCAGTCATTCTGTCATCAGTCAGATTAAATATTCTATACATAATATTTCTGTATCATATAAGCTCAGCGATCTGTTCGTTTATACTGCTCGCCTATCCAAACGAACACTCAGTTATAGCTCGATGGGGTCAAGTGATCTGCTTACTCAACAATCATATATATACATATACACATATGTTGCTTAGGGTTCATTGTTCTATATATTTCATCTCCAAGCTGTCTTCTCTTAAGAAATGTCGACTATGAACACTACTCAAGCGATCCACATACTCAGTTCGCATATATATTGGTTCACTGTTCTACATATTACAAATCAAAGGTCTCTTGGGAAATGTCGATTTCATGAACAGCGCCTCAATGAGGATTGCATTTCAAGAGCTAAGCAGAAAAAATTTAATACTAAATGGAAGTCTATTTTATATATACAGCCAAGGGGCTGACGGCTAGTCGGCACTTGTCCTGAATAAATAATAAAATATTTCCGCATGAGTGTGTGTCAACGTGGCGTGTTATAGAGACGACATAAATATACGATTATACATTTGGCTAATGAGCATCAGCCTGAAGCCAAAATATAGATATTATACACATACATATAGTTGGATGGATAAAAGCCAAGAGCATTTGATATTATAAACAGTTGGGCGCATCGTAAAATTGTTTTCCTACATGCTTCGCCCACGAGAAGTGTAATAAAAGCAGAGGCCCCGAAGAATTAGAGAATCTACGCAAATTCAAATGCCAGCTACTCTTAGCACTTCAATTTCCCTAGCACATTAGGCGTTTAGCGAGCAAGTTTAGCAAATTTAATGTGTATATATTTTAATTAGGCACACAGCGACGGCTGACAGCAGACAGCAGAGACAGAGATGCCTCAATATCAAGTCCCAGGCGTGCAACAAATTGAATTACATAAGCCCCTGTTGACAGACTGTCCGATTTACATACGGCAAGAGATAAATGTACTCTGCGGCTCGGTGGCACGCGTTGACCCTGCCAGCTCTCGGTATCCAACTGCCAACAGGCAAAATGTTGGCAACACATTTATTTATACGCACGCTGTAAATTAGCAAACGCAGCGAAATCAAATCAAAACAAATGAACAAATGAATCAACAACAATCGCAAATGCAGCAAACATTCGCACTGTTGCTGCGAATTTCATTTCAATTTGATGGGAAACGAGGCCAAGTTTTTAGCAGCAGCAACATTTCGCGCACGCATTTTGGCATTCAACTCGTAAATATGCCGCTAATTGCTGAAGGAATAAAAATAAAGACAGGCTGCGATCGGATATTTCAGCGCTGGGGTTGTTTCTTCTGTGTTCGGTTTTTATTGCGATATATATTTGTGTTTAGGCAACGCCTAATTGTGTTGGGAATCAAAAGAGCATGCAGTACATGCAGTACATGCAGGCCATAAAAAGCATTTGGGCAAAAACATTTCCGCATATCTAATTTGTGGCTGCTCCACTAATTGCAGATCAGGGCACCCAAACGGAGAGTCTGCTCATAACCGAGGATGAGGAACAACGGCAGCAGTCAGCGAGTCAGCAGGAAGCCAATAAAACGCCGCTACGCAAATCCGCGTCGTTCTCATCCTCGACCACGGCCTCGACCCAATCGCCGGGCAGCTCGTCGCTGGGCTCGGCCACATCGACCATGTCGTTGCGCTCCACAACGCCGCAGCGCGTCAGCTCGACGCGTGCACTGCGCAGCGATACCATCAACACGTTCCAGAAATGGGAAACGACAATTGAGTCGATCAGCTATGTGAGCACGAAAACTGTTTCCATCTCTGACTTTAGCCAGGAGCCGCAGCTGCAGACAAATGGCCAGCAGGTGCAAGCAGGTAAATCCAGCTAAATCAACTCACTAACTGGGCTAAGATCGGTTTAATGGCTTTTTGCACTCGCTTCTTTGTTTTCTAAACTCAAACTCGTAACTCATAAGCTCAATGAAAACAATTTTCACCAAACGATCTGGAAAATCGCTAGCTACAAATTTGGGGCTGGGCTCACAGACACACACAAACACATTAGCCACAATAAATATATGTATCTGTGTGCATATTTCGAATATCTTTTGAGGCACCGCATGTAAAATCACTAAATATAGATTACAACCACACGCACCGCATCGCAGCACATTGCAACTTTCATTTGCTCAGAGCGAGAGACAGAGACGGCACGAGAGAGGGACAGAGAGAGAGAGAGAGAGAGTGAACTACGCCCAACTCTAACTATGCCCTGTCCTACTCCCTCTCTCTCTCTCTCTCGCTCGCCAACTCGCTCACTCTATATCTTAATTGTATAAACAATTGATATGAAAAACGAACGCATTTGGACATTTTATACCTAAATTGCCGCTTGGCATGCAGCTTGCTTGAGGCGCAGCTCGTTGCAGCAAGCAACAGCAGCAGCAACAACAACAACAACATTTCATTTCGTTTCGGTTTTCTGGGTTTGCTGAATGAGTGCGGCGGTCGCAGTAATTTGATGCTTAATACTTATGCTGACTGGCAAACCGAATTAAAACGCGTCGCAGCATCTGTGTGGCAATAAGATACAAAAGTATCTACAAAGAGCATGTGGCGCTTTGCTTGGGGTCGCTCATTCGCTCATTCGCCCATTTGCATTATGCATTCATTTCATTTTCTTTGGTTCTGCATGCGCCATACATACGACATTTCAGCATGTGCTTTCTATGTATATCTTATTAAACTGAACTTAATTGATATGCGACTATTCTTCTTCTTGTTTGCAGTAAATTGAATGCAGTGCTGGTCCTACTCCAATGAGCTGGGCACCGCCTCTCCCCAACACCTTACCCAACACAAACCAACTAACTAAGAGAAACTAAACAGCAATAGCAACGTTAAACTAAGCAATTGCCTTAATTATCTACTTATTATTACTAAAAGTAAAACCAACAGCAACAACAACAAAATGCTATTAATAATACTAATTAAAGTGAAAGATTTATCTGAAGATTTGCAGTTGTCTTCCTTTGTGTGCCAAGCAACATTCTACTGCCATGACATAATTGGGCGAATATTATTTTTTTGCAACTCTTGATAAGATAATATCTGACTGCCTGCCTGACTGACTGGCTGATAGGCTGCTGCTAATCTCAGCTACAGCTGACAAGAGCCAGCGAACTACGAGATACGTTTTGTAGCGCATCGCTGCAATCTCCTGTACTGTTGCTGCTCATCTTGCAGAACCGGCTAACTGATTGTTATTTTCTAGACACTTGGGCAGTGCTGCGTGCGTTTACTTATCGGCCGATGTTCTTAAGACAAAGTTACATGGCTATAAAGATGCATACATATAATGAGACAAGCATACACCGATGCATAGATTTATAGATACACACATAGATTTATGTAAAGATACATAGATACATGGATACATAGATACATAGATATATAGATACATAGATACATAGATACATAGATACATAGATACATAGATACAGAGATACATAGATACATAGATACATACATATAGATACATATATACATTTATATAGATAGATACATACATACGTAGGCATGCTTTCTTATCTCAGCAATAATAGCTTGAAATTGGCTGCTGACGTCTTTAAGACAAAGATAGATAGCTGTATAGCTACAGATACATTTGTATCTCTGCAATGACAGCTGACAGCTACGGCTAGCCGCGCGTTAAGATTTAATTACTATAACTATTTGCTGTTCTCTTAAAGCGTAACTTGTGATTTCATAACTGTGTCCGAGCGCCACATTAACAATTAATCTGTGCAGTAGCTGAAATTATGTACTTACATTCATTGCATTGCCAACCGGGCTGCCTTATAGAGCCCCACTCAATGCGCATCCCATATAAGGTCAAAGCGAACTGAAACGCATTCGAGTTGCAATTTGTAGCAACTGCAAACTTTTTTTCCATTTTGTTTTTGCTTTTCTACGTTTTTAGCCAAAAGAAATAGAAAGTTTATTGCCAAAGGCGACATTTTTGTATTTTTCATTTCAAAATAAAGAAGGAAAAAAAAAAAAAACAAACATCTTGGTCGCTATGATTAAGACACGAAATGAATAATCAAGTTTATATGTAGCAAGGCAGGCATCCAAATCGTATGTATATAAATTTTTAAAATTAGAAAAAAAACCAAATAAATTGTGTGGAAAATTTGAAAAGAAGGTGCAAGAAAAATATTTTGAAAAAATCTATTATAAATATATAATGCATACATTATGCATATACAACTGCAGAAATAATGTGAAATATCGAAACCAATTCCAATATAATGTTTGAACTACATTTAACTTACTTTTTGTGCAGTTACTGGAATTAGATAAATGGAAGACAGTTGAGAGTGCACTTTATCATCCACTTTTGCAGTATCTAGAATTTCTGTAGATTTCTTTTCTGTTCTGCAGCAAAAAACAAAAAAATGTTGAAAAATACGTGTCAAAAATAAATCGTGATATATTTTTAGCCAACTTACTCAAAAGCCGAACACTTGCCGAATCCCAACGATCTGAGATGAATGAGAGAATCGCCGCGATTCTCTGCAAGTCAAATTGCTGTGCGCTTTTGTCAGCCTTTTCTCTGCTAGAGCAGCAGGCGAAACAGCGAACAGAGCACTTTGACTTGGCAGATGAGACCTGGCTAGAAATGAGATCGATGGGACTGAAAGTCGAAGCTATGAGCTGCTACAGTTCACTTGTTCCTCGGCAGATGGAAATTAATTGAACAGCTTACAATCTTTCTAATGTCACTTCTGACACTGAGTCCAACCAGCAGAGCCTGTTTTGAAGATTAACAAATTCTTAGCCGCTGACCCGTTTTCCGGCTAGTGAGCCGAAGACAAAGACAAACGGCCTGCACATAGGCCCACATGCCGACTGTGTAGCGCATCTGCGCTCTCTCAGCATTTTCCACAACAACAATCGGTCGTGGAAAGTGCAAAAATATCTCGTGTGGAGCGAGAGCCGTCGCACACGAAGCTCGTTTGGCTCTCGCTTGGTTCGTGTGCCTTGTGCAGCAGCTATTTGATCGCATTCTCAACGATATTTTGTCATTCTTCGCTCGCACCTCACAAACGATCGACGTCTTGGTTTCAGTCTCGGGGATTATGACTTGAAACAGTTTGAAAATAGATATTATTTAAAGAAAATATATATATATATATATAATAGATATATACGGTACATATATCTATATATATATTCAGCCATAGAGTTCGCATAGAGTTTTTTACGAAATAGTCACAGCATCTACATATAGAACGTCGCAAGGATAACGCAATAAAGTAAGGATTAACGTGCTCTACTAGCATTTCATTTGTGTAAAATCAGTGGAAAATATGAAGAAAATAATGTTCATGAAATCTTTTGGTTTCGTAACCACTTTGAAAATTCCGAAAGAATTTTTCAGTGCGCTAAATATCTAAAAATAATATCCGAACGGTGCTTCGGTCGCGTTCGACGGGTGATTCGGTACACCGCTCGGCACCAGATCGTGGGGTCCGCACCCAATTCAACGAATGGACTGTGAATTCGTGCATACACACAAGCCGAAATGTGCATATAGATATGAATATTCGATCCGCTGCAAAGATATCCTCCATATATATACACATATATGTATATATGTGAGATATAAAAAAAAATATATGCATACATATATACATATATATATTTTATTATATATACATGAGTGCATTATCCTAGCTCATCCTGCCCAGGATTACAGCAAGCGAGGGCTGCGATAATGCACGATATTGTGAAAATCAACACCAAATATACTGTGTAATCATGAAAATCAAAACTGTGCAGAGTTTTTCGCATTGGAAAAACCAGGAAAAAAAGAAAGAGAAATGATAAAAATAGCCCCTGAAAAATAAGTAGATACCACCGACAGCCGACACAGTGTGTATAGGGGACGACGTCTCTCTCTGTATGCGCTGCATGAGTGTGTTTGTGTGTCGCAGTGAAATGTTCGAGTGGCTAAAAATAGTCCGAAATGCCTCAGTGGAGGCTGAGAATATGAATATGAAGAAGGATGGATGGTGTTGGTGATGATAATGATGAAGAAATCTTTTTTAATGTGTATATGTATGTGGATTCGTATTTATAACGAAATCTATATGCAGCTCGATATAAAATGTACAAAAAAATCAAGTTAAAAAAACAAACATATATACATATGTATATGTATCTGTGCGTGTGAGAAAACTCAGAAAGAAATTGGAAAAAGAAAATTTGTCAAATAAAATCATGTTTGCCAAATATCTATTTTGGTGTGATAAATGTTTGAAGTGTACAATTTTAATTAGAATTTTCCTTTCCCATTCTGCTTTGTATTCAATTTCAGCATAACGAAGCGAAAGTATCAGTAAAGAAATATATTTCAATATATTTATATAAAGTGAAGAAGCAAATCAAAGAGAAAAGTGATCTAGAGGTGTTTTTATTTTAGTGCAGTTGACAACTGCATCGATTTGGTTGTCATTTTCAATGATATATAGTGATATATAACGACCTAAAATGCAACGACAAAATCCGAACCCATACCAGCAGCAACAGCTGCAGGAGCAGCACCAACAACAGCAGGTGCAGCAGCAATACTCCACCCAGGAGTACTCGCACTCCACTCAAGAGCAGCACCAGCAAAGGATTAGCCGCACTGAACAACATGTTCAGAGGAGTCAAATCACCACTCAGCAACGAGGTCAGTCCGTCTGCCTGTCTGCGCCCGTTGGCCCAGCTCTGCCCTGCCATGCCACGCCCGAATTGTCTCGTTTACGGACTTCGACAAGCTGTATTGGCCAGTGGGATTCACACCGTGGATTTAGAATCCCCACTGCTCCAATCTCTTGTTACCGAATTTCCATACGATACAGACAATCGCCTTCTCCGCTCATGCCAATATCATTGTAACCTTCACCTAATGCATGCCATGTTAGTTCCATGCTAGATTTATATGTTGATACTGAGGGAATTCTATTTGCAATCGCATCTGTATTTTCTTACTTCTCTTACGTTGCTCTAACATAATTTTAATGCATGAATATGCAGAGAGAGAGAGAGAGAGAGAGAGAGAGAGAGAAATAGTTTTCATTTTAACTACTTGACATTTAGCAAACATATATAAATATATATACTTACCTCACTAAAATATGCAACGGAAAGATTTACTGATCGATAAAGTATAAAAGATAGGCAGAATAATTTAAAAAGCATTGAATTCATAAACTATATAATAATATAAGGAACACGTAAACATCTGGATATTTCTTTCCAAAAAATTCTCATGAAAAATATCTTTTGTTTATGTCTGAAATATGATAAATAGCATGCACTTTGTTAGCTGTAAACAGTCTCTTCATATGTGAAAAAATATACATAAATACAGTGGGTACAGAATTTCTAAAAATGTTAGAGATATCGTAAGTTTCTAATAATGTTTACAGATATTAATTGCTACAAGTGGTGTTAGCCCAACAGAGAGTAACCCAGAGATATCGCTGTGGGTCTGTTAGATGTGCACAATAATATAGAAAATTCATAAAATACATGTTGTATACAAATAGTTGTAAAGAAAACTGTTTGCTTCTGCCAGACTATATTTCACATATAAATAGTTAACTAATCCTTTGATCATTCTGATCTGATCATTCATATTCAAAGCAAAATATGATTCATCACAAAATATAAAATTAAAACATTAATTGACTAAGAAATGCTAAATTCATTGGTAATTTTCCATGTATTACTCATCATGTTTGCATGCTTAAAAATATAAATATATATGTTTATAAAATACGACTGCAAGCATACGAATTATTCATTTCCATCTTATATTTCAATACTTATATCTTAATTGATGATCAGCCAAAAATTTGATCTATTTATAAATATTTCCATTCATCTGCCAAAATGCTGTATTGACATACTTATGTAGAGGAAATTATATTCATAATAGAATAATAGTATAAGAGCTCTTATACTGCTCGTCTTGTTTACATTTGACAAGGCTGCATTTCATATGCGATGAAGTGAATAAGATATATAGCACTTAGGCACTCTTATACTCATAGCCGAAGTCCATTTGCCGAACTAGCTGAGAGTGCACACAAAACAAAGAGAGCGAGAGAGAGAGAGAGATTGGTGATAGATAGTACGAGAAGTTCGAGAGCAAGAGCGCATTAACAGCTGATCTATTTTGTTTACATTCACCTGTTTGAATCGGAGAGGCAAACTTAGGTACATATAATTGACACACTTTCGTGCAGCCGAGTGATATACCTACGTATATAAGTTAATATATCCGCATATATATAGTCATATATATATAGACTTTTTATGCGTGCCAACTTCTAAATATAAGTTATCAAAGCTAGAAATACATATATATCCTCGACATTACGCTTTCAAGTTCTTGTTTACATTTCTCAAGTAGAGATGATAAAAACCATTTCATGTAACTTTGATTTTTACTAACATTGTATTTATTTGATTTATTGATAAACTTTTAACAAACATTAAATAACTTAAATTATATTAATATTTATTTATTATTTATTTTTCATTAATATGCCTTTATTAAAGCTCGCTTCACTGCATTTCCTTAGCTGTAATTAACTATACTCACACCCTTATTAATATTACAGTACAACAACATCAAGGCGGTTTCGGAGGCACCTATGTACCGCCCTCGTTGACACACGTTTATGCCCAAGGTGACATCTCACCGCCTGTATTCGAGCAAATCTTTAAGAACGCTCGCTTCGCTCAGGGTGGCAACGCCCTGTTCGAAGGCAGGCTCCGTGGCAACCCGAAGCCATTCGTTACATGGACCCGAAAAGGCGCACCACTTCTCGAGTCGCAAAAGTTCCGGATGAGCTACAACGAGGCCACGGGTGATGTCTCCCTGCTGATCAACCAGATCGGACCCGGCGACGAAGGCGAGTACACGTGTACGGCTCGTAATCAGTACGGCGAGGCCATCTGCAGTGTCTACATTCAACCGGAAGGCGCCCCAATGCCTGCACTGCAGCCCATCCAGAATCTGGAGAAGAACATCTACTCCAATGGTTATTCGTATACGTCCATTGAGGAGGAGTTCCGTGTGGACACGTTTGAGTATAGACTTTTGCGCGAAGTCTCCTTCAGGGAGGCCATAACGCGCCGCTCTGGCTATGAGCAGGACACCCAGCTGTCCCATGAGCTCGACCGTTCTCTTGGCCCTGCGCACGCACCACAATTATCGCAGAAGCCCAGAAACTCCAAGCTCATCGAGGGCTCTGATGCTGTGTTCACAGCCCGCGTTGGCTCCAATCCAAAGCCACGTCTCACCTGGTTCCACAACGGACAGCGTTTGGTCGCCTCGCAAAAGTATGAGATCTCTTATTCGAGTGGCGTTGCCACACTGCGCGTGAAGAACGCCAATGCCAAGGATGGCGGCCACTACACCCTCCTGGCTGAGAATTTGCAGGGCTGCGTCGTCTCGTCCGCTGTGCTGGCCGTCGAGCCGGCCGCTGAGACTGCCTACGAGCCCAAGCCCGTGGACACGATGGCCGAGCAGCTGGAAGTCGGCAAGGCCTTGCCGCCCACTTTTGTGAAGGCCTTCAGCGAACGCGAAGTCACCGAGGGTCGCATGACGCGTTTCGATTGCCGTGTCACCGGCAATCCCTATCCCGAGGTATTCTGGTTTATCAATGGCCGTCAAGTGCGCGACGATGCTTCGCACAAGATTCTGGTCAACGAGTCCGGCAGCCATTCGCTGATGATCACGAACGTGAGCCGCCTGGATGGCGGCTCTGTTCAATGCCTGGCCCGCAACAAGGCTGGTGAGGTGGCCATTGAGGCGCCGCTGCATGTGCTGGAGAAGGAGCAGGTTGTCGCACCACAATTTGTGCAGCGCTTCAGCACGATGACAGTGCGCGAGGGTGAGCCCATCACCATGAGCGCCAATGCCATTGGCACACCCGTGCCGCGCATCACCTGGCAAAAGGATGGAGTACAGATCTCATCAACTGCCGAACGTTTTGTGGGCATCGATGGCGGCGCCACCTGCCTGGAGATACCACAAGTTCGGGCAACTGATGCTGGCTGGTATCAGTGTACCGCACAAAATATTGCCGGTTCCACCGCGAACCGCGCAAGACTCTATGTCGAAGTTCCCAGAGAGCAACCAAGTCAAGAACAAAGGCGTCTTAATCTACCAAGACCAACGAAAGTTATCGAGCCTGAGTAAGATATTTTGAGCTGTTAAACGTTTGGCATTTTGCATTGAACTTCTTTATTCTGATTTTAGGCCAATCCCTGGGCCAGAGATTATTTATTTGCGCCATGTGGAACGCGCCAAGCCCCATCTGCGTCCCGGCGAGGAGGATCGCGTCTATCCTCCGCCACAGTTCATCATACCGCTGCAGAACGTGCAGCAGACTGAAGGTGGTCGAGTCCACATGGAGGCGCGCATCGAACCCGTCGGCGATCCCAGCATGGTCGTCGAGTGGTACCTCAATGGTCGTCCCCTGGCAGCCAGTAAGTTACTCCTGTCCAAATTATTTTTACTTTGTGTCTCATTTCTTGCTCTCTTGCTTTCACAGGTGCCCGCGCCACATCTGTCTTCAAGTTTGGCTTCATTGCTCTGGATTTGCTGAGCATTATGGGCCACGATGCTGGAGAATATATGTGCCGCGTCAGCAATGCCAGCGGCGTGGCTGAGTCGCGCGCCATTTTGTCGGTGGTGCAGCGACCATCCATTGAGCAATCGTCGCAGAATCCGAACAGCTTGCAGTACATCAATCAGCTGGAGGATTACTCTCGTTATCAGCGCCAGGAGAGCTCAGAGGAGTTGATGAATCAAGCTCCACAATTTATACGTCCACTGCGCGACCTTGGTGAGTTCGAGGAGGGCAAGAATGTGCACTTCGAGGCACAGGTGACCCCCGTGAATGATCCCAGCATGCGTGTCGAGTGGTACAAGGACGGCTTGCCAATCACCGCCAGCTCGCGCATCACGGCTATATTCAACTTCGGCTATGTCTCCCTAAACATATTGCACCTACGCGCCGAAGATGCGGGCAACTACACCGTCCGTGCCGTGAATCGCATTGGCGAGGCCATCAGCCAGTCCACCATTCGTGTGCATTCGCGCTCCCAGGTCACCGCCGATCTGGGCATACCCGAGCAGCAGCGTTACATTGAGAAGGTGGAGGAATTGGAGGACTATCGCAAGTCTCAGCAGCGTCGCCACGTTCAGGAGGCACCAGAGGCCATTGCGCCACCCCAATTCAAGACACCAATCCAGAATCAACTGGACCTGCGAGAGCACGCGCATGCGCACTTCGAGGCACGCCTCGAACCCGTTGGCGACTCGACCATGCGCGTGGAGTGGCTCAAGGATGGGCAACCCCTTGAGGCCAGCTCGCGCATAACTACTTACCACAACTTTGGCTACGTCGCGCTGACCATCAAGCAGATAACCATCTACGATGCCGGCACCTACACCTGCCGCGCCTACAACGCCATGGGCCAGGATACAACCACGGCCCAGCTGACGGTCATATCGAAGAACGAGATCGTCTCGGACACGCAGCATCCGGGTGGTCTGCAGAAGATTCAGCATCTGGAGGACTCGTCGCGTTATGGTCGCCGCGAGGAGGAAGAAACCTCCATCACCCAGGCACCACGCTTCCTGGGCCCCCTCAAGGGCACCACCAAGATCTTGGAGGGTCAACGCGCCCACTTTGAGGCTCGTGTCGAGCCACAGAGCGATCTGGGCCTGCGCATCGAATGGTACCACAATGGACGTGCCATCACCGCCGCCAATCGCATCCAGACCTACTACGACTTCGGCTACGTGGCCCTGGACATTTCTCAGGTGCGCGCCGAAGATGCTGGCGTCTACACCGTGGTGGCTAGAAACAAGCTAGGTGAAGCTCAGTTGCAAGCAACGATGGTAGTGGAAAGTAAGTAGAAGAAATGTAAATTTAATTGCTCGTATTATAGCCCAATCCTTTGCATTACAGCTCGTTCCAGCATCGACACATCTAGCATGCACCGCGGCCTTTATGAAAAAACGCAGAATCTGGAGAACAAGCAATTTGTCGAGCCTCAATACGATATTGAGGAGATCTCCAAGTCAAAGCCCGTCTTTGTGCAGCCGCTGACCGATCCAAAGCCCATTCACGATGGCAAGAACATTCATCTGGAGTGCCGTCTCGAGCCCATGGGCGATCCCACAATGCGCGTCGAGTGGTTCCATAACGGACGCCCCGTGACCGTTGGCTCACGTTTCCGCACCTACTACGACTTCGGATTCGTCGCCCTGGACATCATCAAGGCCACGGCAGCCGACTCTGGCGAGTATACCGTGCGCGCCACCAACCACCTGGGCACCGCTCACACCTCTTCATGTGTGCGTGTGATTGATCGCACCGATGTGATTACCGAGACCCAGAACGAGCAGTCGCTGGAGCAGATTCAGCTGCTTGAGGACTCGCGTCGTCGCCACCACCAGGAAGAGGATATCACCATCATGCAGGCGCCTCAATTTACACGCGCGCTGCATAACATCGAGACCGTTGAGGGCACCAACGTGCATCTGGAGTGCCGCCTGCAGCCAGTGGGCGATCCCAGCATGCGCATCGAGTGGTTCGTCAACGGCATGCCGGTAAAGACGGGCCATCGCTTCCGTCCCGCCTACGAGTTTGACTATGTGGCGTTGGACTTGCTTGGCTGCTATGCCATCGACTCGGGCGTCTACACGTGCCAAGCCCGCAACCAACTGGGCGAGGCCGTCACCTCCTGCTCCGTGCGCATTATTGCCAAGAAGGATTTGATTCTGGAGACTCAGAACGAGTCTGGTCTGCAAAAGATTCAATACCTGGAGGACTCCTCACGCTATCGTCGTCATGAGGACGTGGATGAGGTGGTCAATATTCGCCCTCGCTTCCTCACACATCCCAAGAGCCTGACCAACACTCGCGAAGGCGGTCACGCCCACTTTGAGTGCAAAATTGAGCCAGTCACCGATCCCAATCTGAAGGTGGAGTGGTTCAAGAACGGCCGTCCCATTACCGTGGGCCATCGTTTCCGTCCGATTCATGATTTCGGCTATGTGGCCTTAGATATTATTAGCCTGATTGCTGAGGACTCCGGTATTTACACCTGCCGCGCCGTCAATTTGATTGGCTCCGATGAGACTCAGGTGGAGCTGCAATGCCGCAGCGGCGAGCAAATCGTCACAGTTACCCAGAACGAGGCTGGTCTCGAGCAGATTCACTATCTGGAGGATCGCTCGCGCTACAGCCGCCGCGAGGAAGTCGACGAGAGCACCAAGCAGGCGCCAGTGTTTACTACCTCCCTGAAGAATATAGAGATCAAGGAGAATCAGCGTGCGCACTTTGAGTGCCGCTTGATTCCCGTCTCCGATCCTTCGATGCGTGTGGAGTGGTACCACAACAACATGCCTCTGAAATCAGGCTCGCGTTTCACTGAGACCAACAACTTTGGCTTCGTGGCCCTTGATATTATGTCCACCCTGCCCGAAGATGCTGGCACCTACACCTGCCGTGCGTTCAATGCTGTGGGCGAGGCCATAACATCTGCTGTTGCCGTTGTGCACACCAAGAAGTCCATCTATCTGGAGTCTCAGCACGAGACAGCTTTGCCGCGACTGCAGCACCTGGAGGATGGCTCCAAGCGCCAGCGCGTCAGCGTACTGGATGAGTTCGTTACGCAGGCTCCGGTCTTTACCATGCCCGTGCGGGATGTTCGTGTGGCCGAGAATCAGGCTGTGCACTTTGAGGCCCGCCTTATTCCCGTGGGCGATCCCAAGCTCACGGTCGAATGGCTGCGCAACGGTCAGCCCATTGAGGCGTCCAATCGTACCACCACCATGCACGATTTCGGCTACGTGGCTCTGAACATGAAGTACGTGAATCCCGAGGACTCTGGCACCTACACCTGCCGTGCAGTCAACGAGCTGGGTCAGGCAGTCACGTCTGCGTCGCTGATTGTGCAGTCGAAGACTGCCATTCAGATGGAGACGCAGCACGAAGCTGCCATGCACAAGATCCATCAGCTAGAGGATCACAGCAAGTACCAGCGCCGCGAGGAGGAGGAATACACCGTTACGACTGCGCCAATGTTCGTCACCAAGCTGATCGGACCCACCAATCTGGTTGAGGGCCAGAGTGCCCACTACGAGTGCCGCATCGAACCTTACCCAGATCCGAACCTGAAGGTTGAGTGGTTCCACAACGGCAAGCCATTGAGCACTGGCCATCGCTTCCGCACCACCTATGACTTTGGCTTTGCCGCACTCGACATCCTCACCGTCTATGCGGAGGACAGTGGAGAGTACACTTGCCGTGTGACTAACAATCTGGGCGAGGCCATCAGCTCGATTGCACTCAATGTTACCACGCGTTCGTCGATTATTCACGAAACGCAGCATGAGGAGGCTCTGCACAAGATCCAGCATCTGGAGGATACCTCTCGCTTCCAGCGCAAACCTGAAGAAGATCAGTTCCACGCTGAGCGCCCACAGTTTGGACGCCCACTGCGCAATGCCAAGGTCAATGAGGGCACACCCGTGCATCTGGAGGCAACACTGATCCCAGTTAATGACCCCACCATGAGGGTCGAGTGGTACTGCAACGGCAGGCCCATCCAAACGGGTCACCGTTTCAAGACCACCTACGATTTCGGCTTTGTCGCCTTGGACATATTGTACGCCCACGCCGAGGATACCGGCACCTACATGTGCAAGGCCAAGAATGCTGTTGGAGAAGCTGTCACGACTTGTGCTGTAAACGTAACAGGTAAGCTCATAGCTAATCTACATACTTCACCTAATGCTAATGACATTCAACTTGTAGCAAATAAGACACTGGATCTGGATACACTCGATGCCCAGCGGCTGGAGAAGATTCGCCAGCTCGAGAGCTATGCGCCACCCGTAAAGGCCGAGGTGGAGGAGAAGGGACAGAAGCCAATATTCCTCACCCCACTAAGCAATCAGGAGCATCTGAAGGAGGGCGAGCACGCCCACTTGGAGTGTCGCGTTGAGCCCATCAACGATCCCAACCTGAAGATCGAATGGTTCTGCAATGGCAAGCAACTGCCCACCGGACATCGTTATCGCACCACCCACGACTTTGGCTACGTGGCCCTGGACATTTTGTATGTTTATGGCGAGGACACTGGCACCTACATGTGCAAGGCAACCAATCTCCTGGGCGAAGCAGTCAACACCTGCAACGTCCGTGTGCTGAACAGGCGCAGCATGATTCTGGACACCCAGCACCCGGATGCCCTGGAGAAGATTCAGAAGTTGGAGTCCAAGGTTGTCACCACACGCACTGAAGTCGGCGATCATCCAATTGGCCCGCCCCACTTCACCGCAGAGCTGCGCGGCTCCACTGAGATCTATGAAGGCCAAACGGCTCACTTCGAAGCACAAGTGGCGCCAGTGCACGATCCCAACTTGCGCATCGAGTTCTACCATAATGGCAAGCCTCTGCCATCGGCAGCCCGCTTCCACATCACCTTCGACTTTGGTTATGTCTCGCTGGACATTACTCATGCCGTGGCCGAGGATGCTGGCGAGTATTCCGTGCGTGCTGTTAACGCTTTGGGTCAAGCCGTCTCTTCGACCAATCTGCGCGTGATCGCCCGCGGCACCATTATTTCAGACACTCAGCATCCTGAGGGACTGGAGAAGATACGCAAGTTGGAGTCTACGGCACCACACCAGCGCCAGGAGGTCGAAACGCCTGGCACACGCCAGCGACCCATGTTCACACAACCAATTCAAAACATTGATCGCATCAATGAGCACCAGACCGCCCACTTTGAGGCGCGCCTGATCCCAGTGGGCGATCCCAACTTGAAGGTCGAATGGTACCGCAATGAAAAGCTGATCGAAGACAGCTCCAGAATCACGAAGCAGCACGACTTTGGCTTTGTTTCGCTCGATATATCGCACATCCGCAAGGAGGATGAGGGCGTTTACATGTGCCGCGCTGTCAATCCACTTGGTGAGGCCGTCACTACTGCCTCTATGCGTGTGGTTACCGAGGCCACCATCCAAATGGATACCCAGCATCCGGACAGCATTCGTCGTATTCATCAGCTGGAGAAGCCTCTGGCTCCACTGCCCACCGAGCCAGAGCGCCTCTTCGAGAAGCCCATCTTTACGCAGCTACTGACGGGCCCCTCCGAGGTATGGGAGGGCAGCCATGCTCACTTCGAGGCACGTGTGGTGCCCGTTGGTGATCCCTCACTTAAGTTCGAGTGGTTCATTAACGGCGTTGAGCTGCAAATGGGCTCACGTCTGCGCACCACCCACGACTTTGGCTTTGTCACGCTCGACATTGCCGCTGTGGTGCCTGAAGATGCTGGTGTCTACATGTGCCGCGCTTTCAATGCCGCTGGCGAGGCTGTGTCCTCGACTGCCATGAAGGTGAAGACCAGGGCCAACATCGACGGACAGCCCCTGATACCCGAGTCCTGGGAGGCCATTCGTCTAAAGGAGGCCGCAATGAACCGTGTGCCCGAAATGTTTGTGGACTCTACGCCTCAGCAGGCTCCAGTGTTCACGACGCACTTGCAGAGCTACGACAAGTTGCACGAGGGCCAGCATGTGCATCTGGAGGCTCAGGTGGAGCCACGCGCCGATCCTAATCTGCGCATTGAGTGGTTCAAGAACGGCATCTCACTGACAACTGGCTCACGCATACGCAGCACCTTCGACTTTGGACTGGTTACCTTGTCCATCAATGGACTACGCGAGGACGACTCTGCTATTTACACCTGCAAGGCCACCAACCAGGTGGGCGAGGCTGTTTCGACCTCATCGCTTAAAATCGAAGATCGCCATTGGCTACAAGCGGAGTCCTTGCATCCGGACTCATTGCCACGCATTGGCGAGTTGGAGGCGCCAAAGCCTGTTCGTAAGGACGCACCAGAGCCCACATACGAGACTCCTGTTTTTATCACGCATCTGAACAACATCGAGTGCAAGGAGACGGACAGCGTTCGCTTTGAGTGCAACGTGGAGCCAGCTCGTGATCCTACCATGAATATCGAATGGTTCTACAATGGAAAACCGTTGCAAGCAGCTGCCAAATTCAAGTCCATTTACGACTTTGGCTACTGTGCCCTGGACCTGAATAACTCGTATGCCGAGAACAGCGGCATCTACACTTGCAAGGCCACAAACAGCAAGGGCTCGGCTACGACCTCGGGCACATTGAAGTGCACAGGCGGCAAGACTATGTTCCTGGACACTCAACATCCACAGGGCGAGAGCGGACTGGAGGCCGTGCAAGAAACTGAAGAAGCATTGGCCAATCGCTATGCTCAGAAGCCGAGCAAGCCTGAAACTCAATACCCAGCGCCAGTCTGGACCAGGCCGTTGCAGCAGGAGTTCCATCTATCCGAGGCGCAGCCCATCCATTTGGAGGCCAATGTGGAGCCGAAGGAGGATCCAAATCTGTTCATCGAATGGTATTTCAATGGCAAGCTGCTGCAGCATGGCTCACGCTTCAAGATGACCAGCGAATTTGGCTTCGTCACCATGGACATGATTGAGGTGTACTCTAGAGATCAGGGCATCTACACCTGCAAGGCCTACAACAGAGCTGGCGAGGCTTTCACTTCCACCACCATATTCTGCTCAAGCAAGGACAGCATCATTGAAGCCACACAGCATCCCAAGGGTGCTGAGGGTCTGGAACAGATTCAGGACTTGGAGGAATCACTACGCAAGGACGGCAGCAAGCCGGAGCAGCCCGAGCAGGGCATTGCACCACGCTTCACCACCGAATTCGTTAACATTTCTGATGTTGGCGAAGGTGAGTTGGCCCATTTCGAGGCCAATCTCATTCCTGTGGGCGATCAGAGTATGGTCATTGAATGGTTCTTCAATGGCAAAGTTCTTGAGGCCAGCCACCGCGTGCGCACCATCTACGCCTTTGGCACCGTCGCCCTGGAAGTGCTGGGCACCAAGATCGAAGACACCGGCACTTACACCTGCCGTGCCACCAACAAATACGGTTCGGCTGAGATCAGCTGCACCCTGGAATGTGTCGACAAGCCGCGTGGCCAGAAACCACACTTCACGTCGCATATTCAGCCGCTGCAGGGCCTGAAGGATGGCCAGTCCGCTCACTTTGAGTGCACTTTGATTCCGGTTAATGATCCGGATCTCAAGGTCGAGTGGTACCACAATGGCAAACTGCTCCGTCACTCGAATCGCATCAAAACGGTATCCGACTTTGGCTATGTGGTCCTCGATATTGCCTATCTGCAGGATCACGACAGTGGCGAATACGTTTGCCGCGCCTACAACAAGTACGGCGAGGACTTCACTCGCACCACTCTCAACTGTGGTGGTCGCGGTGGCGTGTTCTACGACAGCTTGCAGCCTGATTCTCTCCAAAGAATCCGTGAGCTGGAGTGCCCGCAAGGACAGCAAGCAGACAGTGGAGCTCCAGTGGTTGCCGAGCCACCCAAGTTCATCACACAAATCAGTGATGTCACCAAGCTGGTGGAGGGCCAGAGCGCTCACTTTGAGGCGCGCCTGACGCCCATTACCGATCCCGACCTGGTGGTCGAGTGGTATTTCAATGGCAAGAAGCTGCCTCATGGCCATCGCTTCCGCACTTTCCATGACTTTGGCATTGTCATCCTGGATATTCTGTATTGCTATGAGGAGAACTCTGGTGTTTATGAGTGCCGCGCCTACAACAAATATGGCGAGGATGTCACCCGCGCCAGCCTGAAGTGCGCCTCCAAGGCCAGCCTGATCCTGGACTCGCAGCTGCCACGCGGCATGGAGGGCGGTCTGGAGAAGATTGCCAATCTGGAGTATAGCATGGTGCGTACCCGCGAGGAGACCACCGAGGAGACCAGAGGCAAGGCACCAGTGTTCACTGTGCCCCTGGAGAACATTGACAATCTGCGCGAGGGCGAGAATGCTCACTTTGAGGCTCGCATCACGCCTGCTGATGACCCCAAGCTGAAGGTGGAGTGGTATTGGAATGGCCGTCCATTGAAGGCTGGCTCTCGGTTCCGCACTTTCTGCGACTTTGGCTTTGTTATTCTGGAAATTTCTCCTGTCTATCCGGAGGATTCTGGCGAATACTCGTGCCGTGCCATCAATGAGTATGGCGAGGCAGTGACCAGCGCAACAATGAAGATTCAAGGCAAGCGTAGCATTATTATGGAATCGCAGCTGCCCAAGGGCATGGAAGGCACCATCGATCGCATCGCGGAGCTGGAAGGTCTGGGCTCTCGCAGCACTGAGTTTGTGCCGGAGGACGATACAGGCAAGCCACCCGAGTTTATTACGACGCCATTCGACATGGTCATCGGAGAGAACTCGCTGGCCCACTTCGAGTGTCGCCTGCAGCCCATCAACGATCCGTCCATGCGCGTGGACTGGTTCCACAACGGCAAGGCCTTGTGGGCCGGCTCCCGCATCAAGACCATCAACGACTTTGGCTTTGTCATCCTGGAGATTGCCGGCTGCTATCAGCGCGATACTGGTCTGTATACCTGCAAGGCAACCAACAAGCACGGCGAGGCCACCGTCTCCTGCAAATTGCAGGTCAAGGGTCGCCAGGGCATTGTCATGGAGCCGCAGCTGCCCTCGAACTTCCGCACTGGCACTGAGAGCCTGCAAAAGCTGGAGGAGAGCATGCACAAGCGTGAGGAGATGGTCATCGATGAGGAGCAGCCAAATCCACCCAAGTTCGTTGAGGAGATCAAGGACAACTTGGATGTGCCCGAGGGTGGACCAATTCACTTCGATTGCCGCGTAGAGCCCGTTGGTGATCCAACAATGCGCATCGAATGGTACTACAATGGCCGCGTCATGGCCACTGGTTCCAGAGTGCATCAACTGAACGACTTTGGCTTCATTGCTTTGGATATTGACTACATCTATGCTAGGGACTCTGGCGAGTACACTTGCCGCGCCACCAACAAGTGGGGCAGTGCCACCACCACCGCCAAGGTCACCTGCAAGGGCAAGCACAGCATTGTCTACGACTCACAGCTGCCCGAGGGCATGACTGCCGAGAAGCTGAAGGAATTGGAACGTGGACGCATACCAGAGGCACCCAAGGTTGTTGAAGAACAGTACGGACCACCGAAGTTCATCACCCAGATAGCATCCTGCACAGCCGAGGAGTCTGAGGCTGTCCGATTCGAGTGCCAAGTGGAGCCAAAGACCGATCCCAATCTGCGTGTCGAATGGTATCGCAATGGCAAGCCTTTGCCGTTGGGCCATCGCTACAGGAACGTCTTCGACATGGGCTTCGTCTCGCTGGACATTTTGTATGTGTACAGCGACGACTCTGGTGAATACGTTTGCCGTGCCGTCAACAAGTACGGCGAAGATCGCACCAAGGCCACCGTCTCCTGCAAGAGTAAGTCATCTAGCACACGACTCATATCCATTATATCTAAGCTGTATCGATTTTTTATTAGAATTGCCTACGATTCTGCTGCAAAATCAAGTGCCACGTGGCATGAAGCGCTCGGAAACGCTCACCCAAATGGAGGCCACCATCAAGAAGTACACCTCCGAGGTGCATTTGACCGAGGATGATCTCTTCGATCCCGACCGCAAGCAGCCGCCTCGCTTCGTCACGCAGATCAAGGAGCAGCTCACGCTGACGGAAATGGCTAAGACCAAGTTTGAGTGCCAGTTGGCGCCTGTGGGTGATCCGAACATGAAGGTCGAATGGTTCTTCAATGGCAAGCCCTTGCTCTACAGTAAGTGCCTACAATCGATGAGTAAAACTGTTCCGCATTTATTTATGCTCTTATTTGTGTACTCGCAGAGAACCGCTTCCAGCCCATCTACGACTTTGGCTATGTGGCCATGAACTTCGGCTGGGTGTATCCCGAGGACAGCGGTGAATATGTCTGCCGCGCCACGAACTTGTACGGCATGGATGAGACTCGTGCCATCATCAAGGTGTCCGGCAAGCCGGGCATTGTCTACGACTCCCAGCTGCCTGCCCATATGCAGAGCATCGATCGCATTCGCGAAATGGAAGCTTCCTGGCAAGTGTAAGTCATCTGTGGTTTTAGCTAGGCAAAAGACATTGGATACATTCGTTACCTATTCCCGCAGTGTACCCGAAGAAGCTGACCCCGATGCCAAGCCAAGAACGAAGCCAGTCTTCGTTAGCAAGCTGGAGCCACAGACGGTTGAGGAGGGCGAACCAGCCAGATTCTGTGTGCGTGTCACCGGTCATCCACGTCCTCGTGTCATGTGGCTGATCAACGGCCACACTGTTGTTCATGTAGGTGCACTCTGGCGCATTGAATCGAGTCAGTGATTAATTCTCTCACATGCAGGGCTCGCGTTACAAGCTGACCAACGATGGTATGTTCCATCTTGATATACCCAAGACGCGTCAATACGATACCGGCAAGGTGGAGGTTATAGCGCGCAATTCTGTGGGCGAATCGATTGCTTCGACCGAACTGAATGTTGTCGCACGCTCTGATGACTATCGCAATGTTCTCAAGAACTCACCACGCCGTAAGTCACACGCACATGCACACACACACCCGTACACTTTTGCTACAAACACAGATTGTTATACAATCAGATATATCTAAACAGCTATATGAAATTAACACGATTTTTTAAATGCAGTAGTTCTTAGCTGGCAAAACTAAAAAAGAAACACACAAGTGATATCACATTAAATATCGCATTGTAAATATACATACACATACTTTTTTATATTATATAAATATATATCTTTACATACATAAAAAATGCATTTCCAAGTAGAAGTAGAAGCCAAGTTAATTGCGTTTATAAAGCACATGCCACAAAATAAAAATACAAAACTAGTGCCACTGTATAGGTTAGACAATAGACAACCACAGAATCCCTACCCACAATACACCCAGTTCCCCACTCCGAAAAGTGCTTTCCTTCAATTATCCCATAAGAGCGTCTGATTGTCCACGCAACGAGCCTGCAAAGGAGCGACCCAGCGGAAACTGTGCCCCTCTGGACGCCGTCAATGAGTATCGCCGGATCATGGGTATTTTGGTTGTGCAAGTTGTTAGTGTGTGCGTGTTTTAAAGACTGTCTATTCTAAGCTGTGGCTGATCACTTTCAACTTTTGTCTGTCTTCATAAGCAGTTGAATTCTGAACTTAAAGGAGTTAGCAAACCTCTGTGAACATCATAAAAAAATGTACCATCCATGTGTCATACTTTCGTTTTGCTTATTTAAATTCATGTACTAACACTGAAGCTATACGAATGCAGTTTTACTTAACCAAGCGGCATGCCAATAGTTCGATTCTTTCTTGTGAATAGCTAAACGTAGCCATGCCTACTAGAAAGTGTTTAAAACCGTCAATTTGTTTTGCATATAGCCTGGTACGATTACGAACTAGCGGCCTATCAGAAGGAGCGCCAGGAGAACGAGCTGGAAAAGGTATTCGATGAACGTAAGCAATATTTGTCCGAGCAGAGTGCGCATACGCTGAAGGGCGTGGAGCACCTGAAGCCCAAGCAGTACAAGCCCCAGACACCCGATTGGCAGCAGAACGTCAAGGCCAAGAAGAGCGAGGAGTACTACAACAAGATCCAGGAGCTCGAAACCGAGCAGTTGCTCAAGGAGACCAATTTGCGCAGAGACACCCATCAATATGCCATTCCCGGCGAGAAGGTTGTCAGCAGCTCAGCCGCCAAGGGCATGGCGCACTCCTACGAGGAGAATCTGTAAGTTAACGCAAAGTCATTCAGACGAGTCTATGCATACTCATACCGAAACTCTGCCATTTCTCACAGTCAAGAGCAAACGAGCACCACCCAAGTCAAGGGCGCCCCACCAAAGGGCATAGCCCTGCCGTCGGAGTCGTCGGTGCATGGACGTGAGGTGCACATGAATAAGCAGCAGCAAGTGCAGAAGGAGATCCAAGGTGACTTGGAGATTACACGCAAGATCACTGCCACCGAGACCACCGAAGTGGAGCATAAGGGCACCATTCAAGAGCGCGTTGTCAAGGGCCCAGTCGCACCTTCCAAGCCACCCGTCTTCACCAAAAAGATTCAGCCATGCCGCGTCTTTGAGAATGAGCAGGCCAAATTCGAGGTGGAGTTCGAGGGCGAGCCCATGCCGACCGTGAAGTGGTTCCGTGAGAGCTTCCCCATCCAGAACTCACCTGATCTGCAGATTCACACGTTCAGCGGTAAATCCATATTGATCATACGCCAGGTCTTCATCGAGGACTCGGCTGTGTTTACCTGCGTGGCAGAGAATCGTGGTGGAACTGCCAAGTGCAGCGCCAATTTGGTTGTGGAGGAGCGCAGACGCGCCGGCAAGGGCGGCATACAGCCACCAAGCTTTGTGTCCACCATTCAGAGCACCACCGTGTCCACTGGCCAGCTGGCTCGCTTCGATGCCAAGGTGACCGGCACACGCCCCATGGATGTTTACTGGCTGAAGAACGGCATGAAGATTCAGCCCAGCATCAAGTTCAAGATGCTGGAAGAGGACAACATTCACACTCTGCTGATCATTGAGCCGTTCGCCGAGGACTCTGGCCGCTATGAGTGCGTGGCTGTCAATGCCGCTGGCGAGGCACGCTGCGATGGCGATTGCATTGTTCAATCTCCCACGAAGCCGGAGAAGCCAACAACGCCCGGCAGCGAGAAGCCGCCACACATTGTGGAGCAGCTGAAGAGCCAGTCCGTAGAAGAAGGCAGCAAGGTAATCTTCCGCTGCCGCGTGGATGGCAAGCCCACGCCAACGGCTCGTTGGATGCGTGGCGAGAACTTTGTGAAGCCCTCTCGCTACTTCCAAATGTCGCGCCAAGGCGAATACTATCAGCTGATCATCTCGGAGGCGTTCCCCGAGGACGAGGGCACCTACAAGTGCGTTGCCGAAAACAAACTGGGCAGCATTCAGACCAGCGCCCAGCTCAAAGTGCGTCCCATCGAGAACCTGGATGCACCGCCAACCATTACCGCTCTCAAAGATGTCTCCGTCACCGAGGGCATGCCGGCGCAGTTCAAAACCACTGTCACCGGCAAAGTGAAAGCCACCAGTGTGCAGTGGTTCCGCGAGGGACAACTGATACCGGAAACACCTGACTTCCAGGTAGGCTGACTAGAAATGCGACTAGATTAATCAAATAGTCGCTTGTACTATTGTAGAGCAGTGACTTAATTGAAATTTGATATCGTTGCAGATGATCTTTGATGGCAACAGTGCCGTGCTATTGATTGGCACCACCTACGAGGAGGATTCGGGCATCTTTACCGTGCGTGTGACCTCGTCAACTGGACAGGTCGAGTCATCAGCCAAACTGACTGTTAAAAGTAAGGATTAAACTAAAAGCTAAGCAAAACCAAAACCAGAGTTCGTAAACAGCAAGAAATCAAAACGTAAGCGAACAGTGTTCGAAATCTCCAAAGAATGCTCAAAAGAAAAAAAAACAACACACACATAACGACCAAAAAACTTAAGAAACTTTACGTATATTTTTTACATAACGGATCCCTATACTGACGATGTTTCAGCCCAACTAACTGAGTACTGTCAATGACTAGTCCAAAAAGTTTGAGTGAAGAATACTTAACTGAAAACGAATATTTCGACGGTTTCAATTTTCGTTCCTTTTTCTTTCAAATCAGATTTTTACATTGAATACAACGAACGAGTTCTTTTAATTACTAACCCAATTTCAATATCAATATGTGAACCCAAGCAACAATTAAATGAAAGATGTTTAACACGAAAAGGTAACAAGAAAAAAACCAAAAAAAAAAAAACAAAAGAAATTAAAAACCAACAAAAAAATCAAAGTTTATTTAAAGGAAATTAATATTAATAATAAAAACAATTACAAGTATTTTGCAATATAAATATATTTAGAACATTTTCTTTTTGGCATAGCCAATCATGAGGGAATTGCTTGTCGGTTGTTATAAAATTCAAAAGTCTTGAAATTTGAGTGAAAGTGAAGTGAAAACAGAATTTGTTAGATAAATATAGATACATACATCCAAAGCACTCAGCACTCGCCCCTTTGAGTGAGAATTATAAATAAGGCAGCTTATGTACTTTCATATTGCTCAGAGAATACCCATACAGACTTTAGTTTATATGTATGATACGTCTCAGGCACTTTATAAATATGTTGAGTTCCTCTGTATTTAGGCTACATGCATACAGATATACGGGAGCTATGTGTATAAGAAACATATAGAAACATGTGTCGGAATAGTTGTGGGGCCGTGTGCAAAACGCACATTTGTCCCGCCTCCGCTCGAGCATGAAAGTTTTATTTTTCATTTGAATATTAGCATTAAATATTGTGGATGACACATCTAGCGCGCATACAGCTCGCAGCGTTTGCTGTATCCATGTCCATACTGCCATCGAATACTTGGATTTGAAAATCTAGAAACGAACGTGCGCAAAACTAGCACAGCCCAAGGGGGGGATACGTTGATAATAAGTAAAAAGCAGAACGCCGAAAATATTGAAAGCCATTGCAGACATTGAATTTGTTCAGCTGCCAGCAGCTAGCAGCCAGCAGCCGGCAGTCAGATTATCTAGGTATATGCTCTACTATACTATATACACGCATCTAAATATATATATGTGCTGCGGGCTGTCCATTCTATTTTCAATTTCGTTTTTGGAAAATGGTTGTGCTTTGAAAACTAATTTCCAATAGATTAGCTAGAACAAAAAAGAAATAAGACCAACAACAATTAAAAAGTAGAATCCATTTGATATTTTTAGACCGCAGCGCAGTCTGGATATTTTGTTTGCGGCTACAATGAAAAGCATTTTATGTATTTTTCAAGTAAATCGTGAAATTTATTTCAATTTTCTTTCATTTAAAAATTCGAAAAAAAATAAATGAAAAGCGAAAATATAATATTGGCTTTCAATGTATGAGCACAGATGAAAATAAACTGACATTTAGTTCAGGCAAAAATAAAATAATTAATTACCTACGAGTTGTTTGTTTTGTTGTTGTACCATGTAGACAAGATCTGAGTAGCCGATTTACCCAAGAGATCTATTCAAACACACACACACACACAAATGCACACCAACTAGTGTACGTGTGTTTTATTTGGGTCTGTGTGTTAGTCATTAGACAAGCCAACATGAATAAATGATTCTGTTTATGGTGCAGAAATGGTTTTTAATTAAATTAATCGGTTACGGTAGTTTACTCATCCAATCGCCCTCTGGCGCTGATTCAGATGCTGTTTGCCTTTATTTATAGAAGCCAGCCCACGAATCTTGTATCCAACCGACTATTTAGATCTGCAATCCCTCTGAAATCGAAAAATGCATATTAGTATTGAACATTATTTAATGGAACGATACTTTCAAGTATTACTATCACACTTTGACCATGTACTCGAACTTGAACTCGTGTTCGGACTCGACCTGGACAGACACGGAGATCTACATATATGATATATGATTATTTGACGTTTGATTATGATCGATTTGTATTGTTTATTTAATTTACGTTTATTTATTTTGTAGTGATGTTGCATGAGATTTTATTATTCATTTTTTATTGCTGCTTTTTACTACTAATTCGTTTCGTTCTCATTTCGTCCACTTTCCACAAAACTATTTCACACAATTGAATCAATATTTTCAAATTATTATATTACCGTGTCCAGTGCAAATATTTGCCGCTTATGCCGCCGTAAATTTTGTGGTAAAAAATGCTTTACTAAAAAATTAATCATAAAAACTCATGCGACTTTTGTTTTAAGTTTGATCTACAATACGTTTGAGATACTCGTACTCCTCTGTCAATTAAATAATTTATGTTTATGTTTACGTTTCGTGTTTTAAGTGTTTATCGATCGAGCGATAATCAAATATCCAATTCGATCTTTCAATTCAACAACTCTTTTGTTCTTCCATATCACTCTTGTTGTTTAATTGTATTTCTCATGTATTTAATGCTTAAAACCAATATCGCGTCTTTTAAATAAAAAACAAAGCAAATGCATCATCAACTGATAATCGTTTTTGATAACTTCCAAACTGCCAAACTCCATGCTTGCGCATCCTTTGCCGCTGCTTGCTCGCACCGTTATGGGTAATGTATGTACATTTATATATATGGTATTATTATGGTACTTCGATGTTTTATGTTAACGGTTTACAACACTCGATTGAGGACTGCACTTTGTAAATGAACCACACATTCGCCCCGTGAGGCAATTGGCTACCTTCTGCGCTCGATTGTTGTCTACATCCGAATGAGATCGGTCGAATGCGCCGCGCTGCGCTGGCTGCGCTGCGTTGACTGCGATGCTTACCCCAAAAATACCCCATATCGATACAGCGCACAGCACACTGAGCACCGCCTAAGAATCCGGCCGAGCTGTTTACCCCACCTGGTGACGTAGCCGCCACTAATCATAAATCTATTTCGGGCACCCATTGTAAACACAAGCGATTTAATTGTGCACGCTCTCAAACACAATTGTTCTCGCTGAGCCGGATCATTCCTTTGGGCCCATACTTCGATTGGATGATGAAGCGGCTGTACTTAGCTGATGATAAATGCGTACAGTCATTGAAAATGTGCCAGAAGAGTAGCTGTAGGTTATTGCAAGAATCACAGGTGAGATTCGTCACAGACGAATTGTGAATCATGCGACAGATTCACATCTTTTTCTTTATCAATGTCAAACATTGAGTTAAGATGTGCGTGGCATATTATTTAAGTACCTAATTATTGATTCACGGCCAACATAGATGAGCTGTCCTATGCGATTTGTTTGCCGTGATTTGTGGCTGCCGTGCCCCCTCTTAGGCATCTACATATACCTTTACAGCCAAGCAGAAATATGCGTTCTGCCATGGTATTTGAATTTTCATTTTGCACACTACATTAATATTTTCAAGTTCATTGTTTATACATAGATTGTATATACACACATATATACATATATGCTTGCAAGGTATTTTGATTTATTTTTAATATTGAGTATAGGCACCATGGGGTATATACTCGTATGTCAGAGGTATGTATCAAGTTGCCACACCCTTCAATTAATATCATTCTCAAGGTAAGTGACTAAATCTAAATGTCGAACTCTGTTGTGAACTCTGGAAAATGTCAGGCGATTCTCGATTCCCCCATATACACTACTAACACGTTGACTTCCCCTTTGAACTTCTAGAACGACGTATCTCGGCTTATCAATTGCGTACGATTGATTCTGTCGAAGATGAGTCCTCGTCATCTGGCAGAGAAGATAGTTCACCTGAATCGCCCAACCAGTTCCAGCAGCAACAGCAGCCGGGCGCATATGGTCAATATTTGGGCGTTAATGGGCAGGCACAGCATCAGGGTCGCTCGCGCACTAAGAAGACAAAAGGGCGCAGCAAATCCTTGCAGCCGCCCACTAATATTGTGCCTTGGCGCAAGTCCTCGCGTCCGCACCGTGGACGCTCACTAGACAAGCAGCCATTCCTGCCGGGCTTCAAGCCAGAGCCGATCAAGTCGTGGACCGAAGAGACGATTAGCTTAAAGGCCACGCCCATTGAGAAAAAGAAGCCGATACCCAAGCTAGAAGCCGCAAAGGTTGTCCTCAAGTCCATCAAGTCTGAACGCGATCAGGGCATTATGAGCCTGGGAGCTACTTTGGAGCAGATTATCGCTGGCAAGACCGAAAAGGAGGCCGTGCCTTGGATAACAATGCGTGAGAAGCTAAAGCAGGTGGAGAGTGTGCAACGACAGTTGAGCAAATTTGACCTTGATGAGGTCTATTTGCGACCATTAGAGGGTCAAATCGAAACGGACCATCAGCTGCCACAGCAAGCCCAACTGGAGGAAATGCAACGAACCAAGGAAATTCAACGCCTTAAGAGCATGGAAAGCGTGGAAATCATGGAAATGACTGACCAGATTGATAAGCTCATCACCCAGCAGCAGAATAACAAGGATCTCATTCCATGGAAGGAGATGCGGCAGCAGCTGAAGAGCGTGCAGCGGGTAACCAAGCAAATTGACAAGTTCAAGATTGACGAGGTTGAGCTGCGCCATCTGCAGGCTCAGCAGAGTATCGCTGAAGATTTCCAGAGTGCCACTCAGGACACAGTTGTCATGACCATCGACGATAGCTCCAAGAGCTCAATTTCTAAGATTATGACCCGCGATGAGATTCAGCACTACGAGGACCAGTCGAATATCTACAAGCAGCAGTTCATAACCACTGAAGACGTTAACATAATGCATGTTTCAGAGCGCGAGAAGCTCGAGGCACAGAGGCTGATAAGGGAACAGCAAGCTGTCAACTGGAGACAGCAGCAGCAGCGTCCTCAGCTGCAGCCACTAACCTCTGTCGAGGATACGATCTCACAGACCAGCGAGCGCCAAAAGATTGTGCAGCAGCAGAGCCTTATCGAAGAGAGCCAACGTCAGCAGTTTGTGCAAGTCGAGGACTCTCAGATGATGAGCATTGAGCAGTATGAGCATCAGAAGATGATCAACCAGCGCACTCAAGGGGAGTCCTTCAACTGGCGTCAGCCACGTGAGCCGCAGAAGTTCATTCAGGTTGAGGACTCATCTCTGTTGCATCTACAAGAGCGACAAGATACCCAGGAACAACAGCTTATACAGCCCCAGCCTGGTATGTGGGAGCGTGGTAAGAAAAAGCCACAGCCTATGCAACCCCAAGGTCCTATTCCCCAAGAACAACAGGAACTCGTGGAGAAACCAAAGACATATGAGGAAATGCACGATGAGCTGATTGAACCAGTTCCAATGCATCAGCCAGAGCCAGTGCCAGTTATGTGGGAGCGTGGCAAGAAGAAGCCAGTCCAGCCACAACCGAAGACATTCGAAGAGCTCCATGACGTGCTGGATGAACCTGTTCCGGTGCAGCAGCCGGAGCCTGTTCCTGTCATGTGGGAACGAGGTAAGAAAAAACCAGTTGCTCAAGAAGTTACTGATACTCAACAAATCGTGGAAACATCGCAAGTGGTTGAGCAACAAGTTGTCGAGGAGACTAAGAAAACGGCAGTACGGCGAGTAATACCGCCGCGTGAGCCAGAGCAAAAGGTAGAGCAAGTGACTCTTAAGCCAACTCCACGACCGGCACCTAAACAAGCTCAAAAGTCTGAAGAATTCCAATTGAAACCACTCAAGACTACGCGAACCATTCAACAAACTGTTCAAGAGTCAGTTCAAACGGCCACCGAAGAAACTCAACACATTACGGAGGTGGCACAGATCTCGAAAACACTTGAAGTTGCCGAGGATACTTTGGAAGAAGTAACCACCAAGACCGTGGAGCCTCAGCCGCAGCCAGTAATGTGGGAACGCGGCAAGAAGAAACTGCAACAGCCTACAGCTCAAGAGATACCAAAGTCTCATGAAGTTGCCGTTGATACGCTTGAGGAAGAAACAGCTCCAGCTGTTCAGCCAGAGCCACAGCCTGTTATGTGGGAGCGAGGCAAAAAGAAGCCCCAGCAGCCTAAAGCTCAAGAAATTCCTAAGACTCAAGAAGTCGCTGTTGATACTCTTGAGGAAGAAACAGCTCCAACTGTTGAGCCAGAGCCGCAGCCAGTGATGTGGGAGCGCGGAAAGAAGAAGAAGCCAACTCAAAAATCGGTGGAGGAGATTGCTCCCGAGGTACCAACAAAAACATTTGAGGAGGCAGTCGATGTTCTGCCTGAGGAGCCTAAGGTTGAGGACAAGCCAGAGCCTGTTTTATGGCAACGAGGTAAGAAAAAGCCGAAGCCAACCGAGGAGCAGCATCCAGATGAAGTCGATGCCCAAATCGAAAAGGTTGTTGAGGAGGAGCAACAAGTCGTTGAAGAAAAGCGTAAAATCAAAAAGGTTAAGAAACCTAAGCTTCCACAGGAGCCAGTTGAGCAGCCTGAAGAAGAGGAGATAATTGAAGAGAAAGAAGATATCGTTGAAGAGGAGGAAGTAATAGTGGAAGAAAAGCGTAAGATAAAGAAAACAAAGAAACCAAAGAAAACTGCAGAAGTAACTGAAGAGCCAGAAGAGCCGGAAGAGCCAACGGAAGACATTCCAGAAGAGGAAGTTGTCCAAGAGCAGGAAGAATTGGTTGAGAAAAAGCGTAAAGTGAAAAAGACAAGAAAACCAAAACCAACAGAGGCAGAGCAAGAAGAAGAGGAAGTTGAAGAAGAGATTCCAGAAACACAACCCGAAGCGGTTCCAGAAACCGAAGAACCTTCAGTTAAGGAGCCTACGAAAAAGAAGCCAGTTCCTAAAGTGCAAGAAGTGGAACAAGTTGAAAAGGTTACGCTTAAGCCCGTTCCCAGAAAACAGCATCAACTACCTGAGAAAGAACAAGTTGAAGAAGTGACACTCAAGCCACGTGCAAAGACGTCAACTGTTTCCGAAGCACAACAACCCGAAACAACTGAAACTGAATTTGTTGAGACAGAAAAAATTGTTACATTCGAGGACCAAGTAGTGGACGTAACTAAGAAGCGCGTTAAGAAAAAGAAGCCGAAGACAAAGCCTGAGAGTCAGGAATCTATCGAAGAGCCAATTGAAGAACCTGTTGAAGATATTGAAGAGCAAGAAGAAGAAGAACCAGTAGATATCGAGCCTGTGGAGAATGTGGCCGAGGAACAAGTTATTGAGGAAGCACCAAAGGAAAAGGTTACGAGAGTCAAACCCAAAAAGGAAGAAGTTGTTGAAATGGTTGAAGAAGTTGCTTTGAAACCAGTAACCAGACCAAAGAAACAATTACCTCAAGAGGCAACAATAGAAGAGGTACGTCTAAAGCCTACGAAACGCACAACTACCAAGCCTGAGGAAGTTAAGTTGGAAGAAGTCGACTTGCAACATGTTGAAAAGGTAGAAGAGGAAATCATTCAGGAAGAGAAGCGAAAGGTCAAAAAGGTAAAGAAGCCCAAGCATGAAGAACTTCCTGAAATTCCAGATGCCGAGCCAACCATCTTGGAAGAGGCAGAGCTGATCGACATCGAGAAAGAGCCGAAGCCCGAAGAAGAGAAGCCACAAGTCCCTTGGAAGCGTGGTGAGAAGAAGAAGCCAGTTGCGGAGCCTTTAGAGGAAAAGCAATGGCCAACTGGCAAACGGCGACCTCTGCCCGAAGAACAGCCTGAAGAGGTACAGCTCAAGCCCATTCCAGCCAAACCTGTGGAAACTCCTGCAGCACCTGAAAAGGCAGTTTCTCCACCCGAGCTACAGCCTGAAGAAAAGGTTGAAAGCGAAGATGAGATTTCTGATTTGGAGCCTCTGAAGCTCCCAGAAGAGAAACAACCCAAAGAAAAGGTTAAAAAGGAAAAGAAGAAGAAACCAAAGTTGAAGAAGGCCACGCCATCAGTGGATGAAGTTTCTGAAGAAGTGGCCCAGCCATTTGCAGAGCCAATTGCTGAAGAAGATCAAGTTGAAGAGCTTCCAGTTGATGATGTGAAGGTTGTTGCTGTCTCCGAAGATGTGCAGCCAGAAGAAGAAGTTGTGGTAACTGAGAAAACACCAGAAGCCAAACAAAAGGCACATAAGAAGCGTACAAAACCACTGAAAGAAGTTTCGGTTGAAGGACAACCACAACTGCTGGAAGCAGCTGTTGCCGAAATCGAAAAGGCTGATGAAATTTCCCAAGAGATCTCACAAAAGACTATTACTCTATTGAAGAAGACTGAAGACACAAGACCTCAATTCATAACAACAGAGCAGCTTATTGAACTCGACGTGGAGGACGTAAGACGCGATCTGGAAATGAAAATCACATCGAATATTATTAAGAAGGAGAAACGGCGCGTTGTGCTCGATGACAGCCAGCCTCTGCCCGAATTGGAGCTAATCACGCAGAAACGCATTCAAGAGGGTATTGACAAAGTGGCCGACGAGGAGCTGATCGAGGATCAGCAATTGACTCAGAACTTGGAGGAAACAACAACGTCTGAAGTAATTGGCCAGGAGCGCAAGCTAGTCAAAAAGAAGAAGAAGGAAATCAAGCCACCGCGTATCACAGAGAAGCTCCGACCACGTCAATGTGTTCCCGAAGAGCCCACCATCCTCGAATGCAAAGTTGAAGGCGTACCATTCCCAGAAATCAATTGGTACTTTAACGACATGCTATTGTTTGCATCGGAAAAGTATGAAATCACCGTCGTGGAACAGGTGGCGAAGCTGAAAATCGCGAAGGTCACGCCCAGTGATGTGGGAGTTTACACCTGTGAGGCGAAGAACGAAGCCGGCGTGGCAACAAGTCGTACCAACATAATTTTAGGTAAGTTCAATGCACATTTATCATTTGTTTTATGCAATTATATTCCTGTCTATGTAAGTCACTTGAAAGCTTTCGAGAAAGTTTATTGGTGTCTTAATTATTTTAACCTCTTGGAAGAACCACTTAACAAACTACTTCCATGATTTCATTCCATTTCTATGCCCAAACACAACAACAACAACAACACACTTTATAAATACTTTCTATTCATAATGAATATAGAAAAAGAACAAGGAGTCGCGCCACAATTTACGAAACCACTAAAGATCGAGTTTACAGAGGAAAAGCAGCCCGAGCGGCTTAAGGTAACTGTAACGTGTCAGGTGACTGGCAAACCCAAGCCTCAAGTTAAGTGGTATCGTGGTATTGAGGAGGTGATACCCAGCGAAGCCTTGCAGATGTTTTATGATCAAGAGACTGGCGATGTTGTCTTGGAGGTCATAAATCCGCCACCAAATGAAGCCATTACCTATTCGGTTCAGGCTCAAAATCAATTTGGCCGCGCCATTGGCAATGCTAATATTATGAGCCGCGTTGATGAAGCGCCCAAAGAGATTCTCAAGCCACCCACAGTTACACCGTTGAGTGCGGTTGTGGTTCCAAATGGAGGTACTTTACTGTTCGAGGCCAAATACGATGGCATCCCAAGACCAGAGATCAAATGGCTGCGCAATGGCCGTGAGATTATCGAAAACGAGGAAACCATTATCGAAACCACCGAGACAACGACAACAATCAAGGTTATCAATATGACTCGTAAACGTACAGGAAAGTATGAAGTTTGCGCAAAGAATAAGGTGGGCGAGGCCAAGTCTTCTGGCTCTGTGGTTGTATCTGATCAAACACCCGATAAGCAAATCAGACCACCCAAATTCATTCAGCCACTTGAGCCGAAGTTCTTTGGAGAACATGAAGTTGCAATTCTTGAGGTTGTTGTCGATTCAGAACCGCTCTCATCCTTCCAATGGTTTGTTCACAATGAACCCATTAAGAGCTCGAATGAATGCCGCATTGTTAGCCAGGCCAACAAGTCAACGCTCTTGATTGAGGACTTCCAACCGAAGTTCTCCGGACCATTCACTTGTCGGGCTGAGAACGTTGGCGGCTCGGTCACATCAACAGCAACAGTTAATATGCTGGAGGGCGCACCACAGGAAGAGGCTGTGGAGTTCGAGTCGCCACGCTTCATTGAGGAATTGATTCATCCCATAGATGTAATGGATGGTGAACAGCTGCTATTGACTTGTCGAGTGACGGGCAAGCCTACGCCAAAGGTGGAATGGTATCACAATAAGGAAAAGATAACAGAAACAAAGGCGACGACACTGTCGCAGGATGCGCAAGGAAATTGCCAGCTCCAAATAACGGAAGTTTTCCCTGAAAATCAGGGCCAATATAAATGCGTTGCGACAAATAAGATTGGCAAAAGCGTCACGAAGACAACTGTTAATATTCAAGGTACTTTTGGATGGAATCAATTGATAGTTGATAGTTAACAATAGATACTTAGGAATTGTAGCATACACCATATGCATCGCATTCTACATAGGTTTTTCAATAACTACACTCTTTCCACTATCCTCCTTCTATTTCTACTCTGAATACTATATTTATACCCTGTTTAGTATGTTCTTTATACTAACTCACATCTTGATGCCCTTGCATGTGATACTTGCTAAAAGAGATGTTCCGATTTAAAATATATATTATCAGCTCTCGCAAAAACCTTTTGTAAATAATTTTCCGTTCTTGCGTTTGATAATATACCTGTCCTTGGACAAGCCAATATTTATAAAATTTAAAACATTTTTTTAGCATTTGAATATATCCCCGATTCTGAAATCACTGGACTCACAGGATCTGAGGAGGATCTACTTGATAGAGTAAGCGTGATTGTAGTTAAGGAGCTGCCTAGGTTTTTCTTGACGCTAACTTTTTCATATATGATGCCACCGTTTTAGACTATCTCAATCGACGAACAACCTCCGAAAATTATTAAAAAGCTACCTGCAAAAATCGAACCCAAAGAGGGTGAACAAGCGAAATTGGAAGTTAAGGTTATTGGTAAACCAAAACCAAAAGTCAAATGGCTACGTGACGACGAACAGATATTCGCCTCCGAGGAATATCAAATCGAAAATTTCGAAGATGGGACCTCAGTGTTGGTCATCAATCATGTATATCCCGATGATGTGGGCACAATTAGTTTTGAGGCCTACAATCCGTTGGGAGTAGCAGTAACAACTGCTCTATTCGCAGTCGAAGGTACTGTTATGGTTAATGATGTGTTTATCATACGCTTTTTAATACCATGGAAAAGTCTTGGAATTGTCAGTAAAATTCTCTTTCAGATCTGCAGCAGCAATGCCAAATTCCCTTTTATCCCTATCCCCCTTATAACATATGTCTACAATCCAATTTGATAACATTCCCACTCGTATTCCCTACACAAAAATACTCTTACTACACACCGTGATACACGAAAGGTTAAATAAATCTGAATAGAATTTACAAAACATACAGTTTTCACACAATATCCTCACTGCATTGCTAATGAAACGTTAATAATAATCTACTATTGTCACTTCTACTGTATCGCAACATTAATAGGCATCGTTGGATCAAAGGATTATCGCAAGCCAGAATGGGTGACCCACATGGAAGAGATGCAAGTCGCTCTCAAAGGTATGTATCAGAGAGTTGAATAATAACCGACTTCTACCACTGTTATGTGTATATGTGTTTTAATTTCGTGTTTTTCAACACACAACTGTTTTCCGTACTGTTGTCTTAAATCACAAAACAAAAACAACATTTCACAAAGTCTGTCTCTATTGTATTTGTCCATGTATTATACAATGTTTCGTGCACCAACAACAAAAACAATGTGAATCTGTCGATTTCGTCCAAAGAAGCTTACAAACTATGTGGCTTTGTAATTGTCTCAGCCCTTACAGCTCTAAGGCTTATACACCCCGTATCCCCTCAAAAACGTATCCAAGCCCCATTGACCAAAGTAATCGCCTTTAGAAATAATAGTATAAAATTCTTGTTATCCCTTCTATATACATATATATTTTTTACAGTATCAGTAACTCATGCACAAGTAATTGGTTGTATTCTAAAATGTTTTAAACGAATTCTACTTTTCCAAATTTCTACTAACCCTTATATTCACTTAAATTCCAAGGAAACACTATGACATTCCCCTAGCGCTGCTTGCCCACACATATCTATATGTTGTTATGTGCTAGCTGACATTGTTGCCTGCTTACTCGTTGTACTTGTGTTTATTGAAAGATTTAACCAAAAACAGACAAACAATTTACATATTACTCAAGCAAACTGCATATCTATACCACACTAGGATTAAATACTGACTGTAAGTACAAAACACACATACAGACTAACTTCTGTTGCTTGTAGAGCTTTGTATCTAATACGTAGTTAAATGATGCTATCTTTATGCTTATAGCTGCTAAATGCTCGCCATCGATACTTAATGAAATGCGTGACTGTCGTGCTTCGATTGGGGAAACAGCGAAGTTCTCCGTACAATTTGCAGGCAATCCGCAACCAGGTACTGTATACTGTCTGTAGAGCGCTGCAGTTGGTTGGGGCTGATGGTAGATTGGTTTGCTGGCTTTTGTAGATATTCAGTGGTATTTCAACAATGTTCAACTGAGGGCGTCAGAAAAGTACCGCATGGTAGTGCAGGAATCAGAGGCAACACTTGAAATATTCAAGATAACAAACGATGACTGCGGTTACTACAACTGCAAACTGATCAATGAAATTGGCATGACAATGACGCGCGCTAAGTTCGACATATCCTCCACATCTGCAGTGGCAGAGGAGGTGGAGCAAGTGAAGACAAAGACTGTGAAGAAAAAGACGGCCAAAAAGACATCGAGCACAACGGCCAAGCGAGCCAGTGCATCTGAATCTCAGTCGCTCCATAAAACGGAAATTAAAATAGTGCCATCGAGGGCTGTAGAGACGACTGTGAATATTGTGAAGGTAAAACAGGCTGTGCCCATATTGGTGGAGCACAGTGAAGTCTCGGAAGTGATGCAAGTCAAAGATCGTAAGATAGCTGATGCTGAGCAGCGCAGCAGAATCATTGAAGAAGTTGCAGAAGAGGCAGAAGAAATCGAGTCCGAGGAAGAGGTCCTCGTTGAGAAGAAATACACGTCAAGTAAAACGATTCAGCTAACTGAAACAGTTGAATTAATACGCACAAAAATCACAATGAAAACCATCAAGATTGAAGACATCTATGAGATAAGCCAGCACGAAGAGGTGCAATGGCTGCTCGAGTCCGTCGAGGCCGAGTCGTTTGGCAAAATTGGCGAAGCAGCGCTCAGAGACTTGGCCACCATTGGTGTGCTCTTGCGCTATGGCTGCACTCATTATGAGATCACATACATGTACGAGCAGAACATATTCATATCGCTACAGAAGCCCGAATCGCAGTCAGCTCTCGTTCAGCTCGTGGAGCGTGAAGGGCACGAGGAGCTGATCACGCAAATCCTAAGTGAATCTTCGAACGAAGACGAGACTATATTGGCAGCGACAGTTGGCTTCAAAGCGTTCATACGCATGATACAGACGTACGAAATTACTATAGAGACGGTGATACGAAAGTTTCATAGGGAGGATTTCATCTCTCACGATTGGAAGATATGCGCAAAGGAGGTTTGAATTCTGTTTTGTTTGTTTTTGTTTCGTTCGATGCGGTTACTTAGACAGTTGAAATGGCGTTCTAAATTTTATTTAAATTAAAGAAAATCATTCTCTAATTGGGAACTGACATTTCAACTGGAAAACCTGAAAATGTTTTGTACTTTATAGTCTGAAGCTGTGAGAATATATTCTTCTAGTTTATTGACGATTGATTTTTATAACTTTTTACACGATTTATTGAAATCTAGAGAATAGTAGAGACATCCCAAATAATTGAAAGTCATGAGGCTATAACGCGTGTGAAAATCGGTGAGTAAGCTGCTTATTGTGTATATATGTGAATATTGCTAAAACCATAGAAATATGCTTTAGAACATTTGAATTTTGATCACTGAAAAAGCTATTTTATTTCTTTTTTATTTTCAAAATGTAAAACTGCTTTGTAAAATGCCTGCGCTTATGTGCCAATCCCAACAACAATCTTAATCTAACCCATACGTAGAGGAAACATTTGTCGAGGAACGCACGATAGTTGTCGATGAAGGTTTGAACATAAACACAGATGAACTGTAAAGTCCACAAATAATACCTACCAGTACTGATGTATCCCAATGAACTACTCAACTACAGTTACTACATCAATTTATGACACAGAAAACAAAAAACATATACAAAACAATAATCGATATTGACTTTTCAAATATATAACAATTAAATTTTGTTAAACCAAACGAATCATGTGTATATTCTAAAAAGACGCCTACCTCAAATTATCTCGAATGCCCATTAACCGCTGATAACAACCTACTACTATTATGATTTAATGATTTTCTTTAGCCTGTTGCCATATAAGCTTTCTTTGATATATTGAAAAAGCAATTTTTGATACTTCTACGCACCTGAATACAAATGTAGAAGGGCTTCCTTTTTATTGAATGCTCGGGGTCAAAAAGTGGGCTTGGCTTGAGGTAAGTTTTCACAGAGTTTTTCTTTTGTAATATGTATTGCATATGCTGTTTGTCTGTTTAGCTCTGTTTATGTGTCGCCAAGAACCTAATAAAAAGCAAAAAGTGTTATATTAATCACAAATGCTCATCATATAATTTTAATTATAGAAAAATTGCATTTGCCTTGCTTTTATGCAGTTTATGAACATTGTTAGTGAACTGTCCTTAATAGCACCTGAAAGAGAAACCGACATTGTCATTGTTTAATTACATTACATTCGCAGAAACTACAACCACTAAAGTGGAAAAACAATTCATACAGCAACAACAAGAACAAGAACATGAACAAGCACTAGGTCAACAACAACAATTACAAATTCAGGCTGAACAAACTGTGCATAGAACAACCAAAACTAAAAAGCATAAAAAACATACCGAAATAATACAACAACAACAAATACAACAAAGTATTGAAGAGATTACAAACTATGAGCAAAGAGAAACATTTGCAGAGGAATCAAACACTGAAGCACCAACAATTGAGACACTAGAGCAGATTGAAGAGCTTCTGCCGTATAGCACAAATCTATCCACCCAAAATGTACCAAAAAATACACACGAAACAATTCCAATTTCTGTAACTACAGAACTGTCCACACCGAAACCTGTAGCAGCTCAAGTACACGACGAACTCTTACCACAAAAGACTTTAGCCGTGAATGAGAAATGTTTAGCATTTGATGAGGTAAGTTCTAGCTTGGCTCCGTCTAGTCCGGCGACTAGTGAGCTAATCGAGCAAGTTGAAGTTCACGAAAGACATGCTGCCTCTACTATTGAGACGCACACAAAGGAGACTCCCAAGCAATTGAAATCTTCGAAAATACCAAAGCGCATACAAGCTGAACGTAAAATGAAGGAGTCACGTCCATTGTTAATTGAAGCGCCTAGCATCGAGGATTCCATAGCAGAGCTGGATTCACTCAAAGCTCCTGTTCATCAAGCACATGGGGAAATCGTTTATTCCCATGAGCTCACGTCAGAACAGCAGTCCACTTTGGACAGTGTCGAAAATTTGAAAACCCCAGCAGTTATTACGGAAACCGCGGCATCACACTTGCTTGAAAGTGAAAGTATTATGATCACCGAGTCCTTTAGAGGAGAGACAGTAGATAAGGAACCAGCACAGATTAAGTCCAGCAGCGAGAAAATTTCTCCCATATTCACACCAAGTGTTAGCTTAGGCATTACTGAGTGTCAACCAGAGGACTCTGTAACGAAACTCACAGCTCCAAAGGAGATTCGCACCGTAACGACATCAGTTACAGTCGAAGAGTTTAAGGCATTCAGCACTAGCGAATCTGGAGCGTTAGAGAGTGAAGAAAATATGAGCGCAGTATTTCAACCAACAAAATCTTTAGCAGAGTTATCCGTAAATCCCGAGGTCACACCGATCGTGGTACAGGAAGTCGATATAATGGAGTCCCTAAGCGATGACAAACCATCACCGCAGCATATTAATGAGGCCCAGGCTCTTAAACAATTAGTATTGATGGAGAGCCTTATAAATACAACAGCCGATGCGCGCAGTCCCATTGAAGAGAAGTTACCTGCATTCCGGACAGAGTCCTATGAGGCCAGCTCGAGCTTGGAAACACAATCACATGTTATTACGGAGCAGACCATTTCCAATGAAGATGGCCCAAGGGAATTCGCTTTAGAGAAAATACCAGAAAACATTGCAGCTACGTTAGGCCGAGCCAGCTCTCTCACAGTGGGACAAACTCAGGAAGTGCAGTTAGTCGAAACGACAGAAATGCTAGATAAGAAAACTATAGAGCCTGCTAAGCCCGCGAAGGAATCGTTCACAAAGGCTTTTGGAGCCGCCCTTGGCAATCAGGAAACAGTATATGATACTACTCAGGTAATAGAACCGACAGGCAATGACTTGAACGAAGGTAAAATAAATATCACAGATGCCGAACTGGTTGCAGAAGTGCATGCTCAAACAATAATTGACTCAGAACAGAAACTGATACATGAGCAGCCAGAATCTGCAATGGCTAGGCTGAATTTCATCGAACAGAAGGCATTGGAAGTCAAGCAAGATACGGGTATTGAGAAAGAAACCAGTTTGGTCCCTGTAAAGCCAGTGGACGAGCAAGCCGCTGTAGAAAAACTGATTCCCGCCGAGCTGAAGGCGAGCAGTGTATGGGAAGTGCAACCACAAGTTATGCCTGCTGATATTACAAGTGATAATTACAAACCTGCATCAGCCAGTCCCGTTTTTGAGACAAAAACAGTTGGAGTAACAATCGAGCAGGAATCGCTGAAGAGCACAGATTACCTCGCACCGCAAAATAAGCCCGACCTTAAGTCTGGTAAATTACTAATGAGTGAAAGTAAACAATCGCTAGAGATAACTGCAGTGCAGCTCATTGAGAGCTCCGAAATCATCAAATCAGCACCGCAGCAGCCACAATCAAAAGCTGAGGAGAAAACTGATACACTAACTCATGCTCAACATGATGAGCAAATAGTATTGGAGTCCATTGTGGATTATGCACCTGAAAGCAAGCCGACCGCAGCACTTGCAGATGTTACAATGCCTGCTCAAATTGGAACTAATGTAAGCGAGCAGGCTATACTGGAGACTTTGCAGCCTCATCTGCAGACAGCTGAGCCCCAGCAGCAGGTATCAGCGACAAACTTTGACCTTCTACAACCATTGGAGACCAGTTCACATCTAACTCTAGAACAAGAAACAGCTTTGCAGCCAAATGAACAAAATAGAGTTCAAAATGCAGCTGCAGGACCCCTAAGCGCTTTTCAGGTTGCAGATAAATCAAGTTCTCAGCATATGGAATCCATTCAAGATCTTGGTGAAGAAACGCAGCCCACTCAACAACAAGCGAATGTTAATATTGGAGAGGTATCACTACCTGAATGTGAAATGGTGACACCATTTGATGCTCTAAAAGATTACTTGGCTCCTGCTTTAAATAAATCTTCTATAACTAACGTACAGATCATTGAAAATATCCCTGCTTTGGATACGACGACAGCTACTCCTCATGAAAAAGCTGAAGACATTAAAGAGTCAATTATTATTCAACAAGCTGGACTGACGCCAAAATTAAATGATTTTAACAAAAAATCCCCTATATCGGAGCAGCCGAATGTCTTTTATAATATTTCAGAGCTGCAGGACTTTAATCCAACATTGGAGACTTCTCAGCCTACAATAAGAAGCTTTGATGAAATCCATGTTCAAGAAACAAAACCACTTGAAAAGGAAATTACACTTGCAGCGGACTCTAAGCCGACACAGCAGTCGGTTAAAGTTTCTCTAGATTCAACAACTGGAATTGTGATTAGCCAAAAGGAGAATACTTTCGAGCTGGAACGTGATCTGAAGATCCCAACTACTCCAGTGGAGCAAGCGAACTGTATTTCTTCCGAATCGTTAAAGCTTCCACTAACCGAAGGTGTGCAAGAAAATCAATCAACTGGAGATCTGGCAGAATTTAAGGTTTCTAATAAATTTGCAACATCAAATATCGATACTTTAACGGAATCCACAACCTCTGAGGCAATCATATATGACAATGTCTTAATAACTGAAGTTAAGGATCAGCCTGAATGTGTTAGCTCTCAGTCAATAATTCCCCATGAGCATAAGCTGATAACTGAATGTGTTGTCGTTTCTGAAGTGGAAGAATACGAGAGAATAAAGGAAAAGGAAAGCAAAGCTAAGCCTATTAAGGATATATTTAGCCAACTATCTATAAAAGAAAATCAAAATACTCTAGAGGCTGAATCAGAATTGAAAACAAAACCTTTAGAAGAATTTAATGCAAAGGTGAGCAATGTTCTTTCACCTCTCTGCACCAAAGGGGTTGATGAAATCAAATTGTATGAAACAGTTGTTGAAACGAAGTCTACTGGCCAAAGTAGTGAGCAAGAAGCCGGTATTTCCCATGTAATGGCAAATGTTCCCATAACTAATCTACAACAAGTTATAGAATCAACAGACAAGTTTTTCGCTGAGGGCCAAACTACGTCAATTGCCACCTCAACTGATAATGCCTCACAATTAAAGGCACCTGTAAATACTTCCATACAAACTGTTGAAGACATTAATGAATTCATTCCAAAAGCATACAATGAGAAAACCGCTCAACCCATCTTCGAAGGACATCATTATGAAGTAACTGTAACAGATAGTCAATTTGCCGAGAGTACAGAAGCTATATCGCCAAGTAACGAATCACTTAAAAAGGCAACTGAATCATTGAATGATATATTCAAAGCTACTCCACAATCAGAAGAAGTGAGCATATTTCAAAAGGAATGTATTATTCAACCTACAGAATCACAGGAAATCATGGCCAAGACAAGCTTAAGCGATATTCTTCAACATACAACGACAACTGATGCAATACCTTATGAACTACCACACAAAATTGAGGAAGCTGACTCTAATACTCCAAGGCTTCAAGAACCTCGCTTGGTATCGACGGAGGCCAATAAGCTTAGCGTCCAGCTTGACGATGTCATTTTGCAACGAGAGGATACGTTCTTGGACAGCCACCAAATTAGTTATGGCAAACCTTTCATTGAAGGTACGCAACGTGAAATGCAAATCTCCGAAGTCATCCCTATTGAAAATATTGACGACCTAAGTATTCCAACTATTAGGACAGAAGAATTGTCGAGTAATTTAATAAATCAATCA